TATTGAACTGTGAAATGTTTGGCGAAAACATTGTATAAAAATAAAGCCAATCGAAATATAAACATGTGAATGTCCAATTCTTATCTAAATACAATTTCTCTTGCCTATATCTCCAAGAGATTGTTGACAGATTTTGATTTGCCGAAGCTACCGCTGTCTATCGTCATAAAAATACCATTTACAAGACTTATACGTCCTTCATGAAAGATTTATGATGACTTTGCAAACTTCTTCTCGTTTACTGTTGGTTATATTATTTATTACGTGTAGCTGAATACTCTTACAGAAAGTAAAGTTTCTATATTACCTGCTTGTTATTAACAACGACAATCGCAACTAGAGATGCCTACGTGGACCGTTATAAGCAAGAAACAAAATGAGCGTTGTCGTAGACAGCGAACTGTTTGGATATTTAAAAATGATTTTTATGTAGAACATTCATCACGAATCGAAAAATATCAACAAGGTGGTAATCGTGCTTTTATAGAATCTATCAAGCAAAACAAATCACCACAAGAACTTGTAAAAACGCCAGAACAGTCTGATGATGAATGTGATTACTATTTTGAAGATATGACAGGCGAACAGTATACTTCATTATCATGGGATAGTTATGAGTCTCAGCAGGTAGAATTGCAAGAATATAATCCACAGTGGCCAAATTTATTTCAGCAAGAATATGAAGAAATTGTTGTAAGAAATGTTTGAAAAACCTTCTCAACAGACTTATCATTTTTTCGTATATTTCTACTTCATTTGACTACTTTAGAAAAGACTGCCGAAACATCCTGGCCATGAAGGAAAATCAAAACAATCGCTATTGCTAGAAATGGAACATATAGGGAGCACTAGTGTCAAGGGAATGTGTGCAAAGCCTATAATTGATATGTTGCTCATTCATGGTAATATAAGAAGCTGGGGTGTAACGAAAAGTGAGGAAACATTCGATACTTTGATCAAAATGGGCTACAGAACTAAAGACGGAAGTGTGTCGTGGCGCAATTTCTGGGATGGTGCAACATTGATCAAGGTATTAAGTTTATATAGATTTAATTTTTTCTTCTAGCTAGCTAGAAAAGACACATTTTTAGAATGGTTTTATCATCCATACAACTCGTAACTATGAGTCAAATGGAAATAACGATTTCATCATATTTTCGAGCTATCTTCGTAATCATGCACATGCTCGTGAGAGATACAATGCGTATAAAAAGCGTATGGCTTCGAAATCTCCTCATGTGACAGTTAAAGAATATACATCTTGGAAAGACCAATTTATTCATGACCTACTTGCAGAAGCTACGAATTGGTATAGACAACATAAGATGTATGTTCATATCGGCAATTATGATCAAATAAAGAAGCAATGGACATGCTGCAAAGCGTCACAAGATGAGAGAAATGGTGAGACCGAAGACTCTGAAGACGATATGCCCAGAGGCGAAATTGGTTGTTATCAGCCTGGATTGGATAAAGACCACTACCATCCTGGTCGATATTATGTAACAGAATACAATTTTGTTAGAGGGTGGTGGACATGTTGCTCGCAAGGTAGACATTCAGATGGATGTGTGAAGGTGAAAGTGTTGGGCAATGGAGATGGTAATTATCGATGAAAATGTTTTTTTAAATATCAGTGAAGAAAATTGATCTTTCTAGTGTTGTTAGGCGACTATGATCAATGGGATATGTCGAGTGTCTGTCGATGGGTAAAATCATTAAAAGATATTAATAAGGATTATTCCGACAGTTTTCGTGAGCACGGTATCAATGGTCATCTACTATTGACCTCAGTGGACGACGAAGTCTTACGAGACCTGGGTGTAAGCACAGTTTTACACCGTAAATTATTTCTAAAAGGTATCGATGAATTGAGAGGACCTTCAACAGCGAGTGGTTCGAAACCTTTATCATCATTGAGCAAAGAATCGAAAAAGTCTTATTATGAGGAATTTCGTGGCGATTTTAGTGCATTGTTATCTGTCCGTGAGATGAATGAAGCTACAACATCAATCTATCGGCAGACGTCAGCGTGTCAATTGGTAAAGCAAAAACACAGTTCTATCCTATCTCGTATTTACAACTGGCTTGGTACATTACCCAGCCGTTATCAAATAGACAAAGTTGAATTTGTCTTTAATGCTGAACGTCAACGTGTCTTAGACCGTCTTGATTCCTTGTGTCAACAAGTTTCGTATGTGGCATGGATGTCGAAAAAATGCATTACCGAACCTATTATCAGATGGATTCGCCACGTTAGGTTCCCTCGATGACGGATGGTATGGAAAAAGAATGTATTTTACTTCGTCAGCTAAATACGCAGCACGATACTGTCCAGAGAATGGCGGCTGTTTGATCATGTGCTACATCGCATTATTAAACCCGTTCCCAGTCGTTTCAGCCGATGCGCCGTTGGATGTCTCACCAACAAAATTCAGATTTTACGGACATGGCAACTTTAAAAACTATCAGTGTCATTACATTCCCGTCTCAGCGATAGGCAGTGAAAGTGCGATGGATTATCGACCACCACCGACAGGCACTGATGATGCGATATACGATGAATTGGCTGTATTTCAAGAACCGAGTATTCTACCACAAGTTGTGGTACATTTTAAATAAGAAAAAAAATTATAGACAAGAAGTTCGAGGAGAAACGTAGAGACTTTATTTCGAAGTTAAAATACGCTTTTTCTTTACAATAAAAATCTATAAAATCTTCACTACAATCTTTCCAAAGCCACCTTTTCCTTGCATAATATCATGAAGAGCATTTTCTGCGTCTTCAAGTTTAATTATCTTATTTATATACGGCTTTAATTTTCCATCTTCCATCCATTTTGCTCCTTGAAGTAATGCATCGTGAACAAGTGTTTTCAATTGCGCACGTTCAGGTCCGAACCAATAACGTGCGATATCTGCATGAACAAGATTAGCTTTTCGTTCAGCAACAATGTTGGCTTCTGCGCTACCTTCTTGCCCAAAATGGCCAAGAACAATCCACGAGCCGCCTTCCTTAACCACTCGAGTTGATTTTTCGAAACTCGATGGAAGATAAGTGGAGTCGTAAACAACATTGACGCCTCGTCCTTCTGTTAGTTCAAGCACCCGATCGACTACATTTTCTTTGCCATGATTAATAACATCATTGGCTTTGTATTGCTCCTTGAGTATCTTTATGCCATCATCCTTCGATGCTGATGTAATCACTTGTTTGGCACCGCGAATTTGAGCAATTTGCACACTAAAATGACCGACACCACCTGAACCACCAGGAATAAAAACAGAGGTGGTCGAATCGATATTCACTTGACGCAGACCATCCATAGCGGATAAAAATGCTACGCCAAGCGTTGATGCATCTTCGTGGCTAATACCAGCTGGTTTCTTCGCTAATGCCTCGGCTTCTCCAACAGAATATTGTTGAAGTGCTCCACCACCATTACTCGAATCGAGATTTAATAATCCGAAAACTTCGTCGCCAACCTTGAAACTTTGTACATCTTTTCCAACAGCAACAACTCGACCACTGACATCGTAACCTGTAACAGCTGGCAATTTAACGTTGGCAAAGTTGACTGTCGCCATCTTATAATCAACTGGATTGAGAGAAACAGCATGATTTTCGATTAAAACTTGATTAGCACCTAATTCCGATGGTTTGATTACCGGTGCTGATTTTGTGAATTCGAATTGTTTTGCATTACCTACCCGAACCCATTGTAGTGCTGATTGAATAGTCGGTAGATTTTCTTGAGCGGTTGCCATCTTGTACAGAAGAGTCTGGTTGTCGTAAATAAATTCACTGTAATGACGATGCAAAATACTAAGAGACACTTATCGACTAAGAGAGTACGTCCAGATTATCCACATATTATCCATAAGGAAAGAAAAGGCAAAAACCACTGTAGAGCTCAATTAGTCCAATGAAAAACCTTTCTGACGAGATAATCTATTTATACAAGCTTAGCATAAATATTTATCAAACTGTATCGAAATGCTCTTTGAGCATACGAAAAGACACATTGATTCTTTCCGTCTGATAGATGTCGCCTATGAAAGAAATGAAAATCTTTGAACTATATTTTTTCTGCACATCATTTGACGGCGTGCGAAGATCACGTTATCAAGAGCTATTAAATAGAATACATATGTTGGAAAAAGCCATGTTGCTTATCTTTTTCATACAAAAATAATCGTTTTTCATCGAAAAAGAATAAAGATAACGTGTAACTTTCAACAAGTCTTGCAGGTAGTACTTCTACAGACGACAATGAATCGTCGCAGTGTTTATTTCAAACAAGATGGCTGTCGTATTACATAGAAATGAATTTAGTTTGGAAGTAGATAGTGTATCAGTAACAGTACCGAGCAACGATGTTGCAAGGCTGATGTACTATCTGAATTGTGTCTGTACAGCTATCGACTGTAATCGTGATCCTGATTTGCAACGTTTTACGAATTACAGAAACTGGTACTCTTTGTCGATCAGTGAACAAAAGGAACTTCTCGTGTTGTGCTACACATTTAGTCCCGACGTCTTCGATGATCGTGTTTTCTTCCATAGTGATGTATTGTGCCAAGGTAGCAGTAATAAATTTTACAAAGTGAGTCAAGTTCGTCAGCAGCTGATAGCTGCCGAATCGATTGTCATCGCCGGGCAAGTTCGTGAAGTGCATAAAATCATGACTTATACAATGGGCTGGATGAAGACGTTTTACATTGATCCAATGCAACGGCTTGCACAGTCGCTCAGTAATCCACGTCCCGCGATTACAAGCTCAGTGTATACACCACGTGTTGTACATCAACCGACAAGCAGTAGCAGCTCCAGCAAGTGCAACGGTACTTGTGTCTGTGTTGTGCTTTACTGTCTTCTATGCGTGGTTCCGGGAATTATTGGTATAATTGTTAGTATTGTTAACGCCGCTAAATCGTAGCTTTGATACCAAAGAAATTCAAGCTCTCCCGTGGCTTTTGCAAATAGATGACGATGTAAAAGCATCATAATCACATTCTTCTTTTTCCATGACAGAGAAAATATCGTAAACATGCCATTTTCATATTTTTTTCGAACCTCAGTGTGCAATAAATGTAATTACCATATCGGCAACGACGGCGACATGACCAAAGAGGAAGTCAGAAGTCTGTTTATAGATGATAAGTGAGCCTTTTTTCGGTGCTGTTAGTGAACCATTTTAATATCTTTTCAACGGGAAAAGTGTACCGTCGATGACTCGTTCGGCATAACTCAATTGATCCCATATTTAAGCTGCCATAGAGACATCTTTAAAAATGCAACCTTTTCGAACGAACAACCATCGACGAGTATATTCAATACATTGCCATTTCGTGCCTGTCTTGTCACTGTAAAGATAATTATCCACATACGAATAGTATGAATTGTTACCATTTGACTAGGTTGGTACATTGGTGGAAGCACTGCCGAGAATTACACTAAATGGTACATTTCTCTTCTCCAGAAATGCAGTTTGTTCTATAGTCCTTCCTGTTCGATTACGTATAGAATGCTGACAAAAGTCTGTCAGATAACTGATGAAGAATCAAACAATCGTTGTAGAGTAATTTCGCACCATGGTTAAGAAAGTATTTGAAAATGGTGAATACAATGAATATGACATGATTTTCGTTTTTTTTTCAATCGATGGTTTGTAGTTATTCAACCCAATGATCTGTGTAAAAAGTTGTTAACTGAACTATCAAATATTATTCATTCTGTTTTCTTACCTTGCAAACAAATACTTTCGTATTCATCCATTCGGTCGCTAAGCATATTATGAGTTGTATTAGAACACAAACTGTATAATAAGAGGCAATGTATATTCGAATGCAGAAATCAATGACCCATTTTCAATACTTCGAAGAATATTTCATTTACTGATCAAAATCTTGAGTAAATAAAAGTGCAAAAATTACCGTTCTTTCTCAGACTAGTATTGAGACTGCATTTGCATTATACACAACATCCGAATTTTTCATTAATTTCGTTACTTTCAGTGTGAATATGAACGTTAAAAGCTAAAAGGTATTCAATACGAAAACTATCGCTTAATGGTCAAATCGAATAAAATACTCACCGTGAGGATGCAGTACGTTAGTGCTATACCTGTAATCATAGCGTATTCTCTAGCAAGAAGTTCTTTGGCGAAGAAACTGTATTTTTGATAGTATAGAAATCGTGTGATCCTGATGAAAACACTGACTAACTCAAGTATCTGAATCCACGCGCACTATGAATAGTGAATACGTAAAGATGAAAGTTAGATTTGTAAGATGACTTACATTTAAAATACCTGTCCTTTTATATTTCACAACGAAGATCAGAAAAATGATCGAGTAGAACAAAGCAAAAATGGCTATAGTAAGAAAAAACGAGATTAGACATGTTGTTAGGCAAGAAAATTCACTTGAAATCTCGTCAAACGAAGTAAATCCAGAAAAGACACGGATGGTATAAGATTCTCTGGTAGTTTGATGAAACATGAAGAACAAAGGATTGACTATAAACAACAACCTGAGTAGCTAAAAGAAATCTTTCATTATACACGATTAAGATGTTTTTATCGACCTGCCAAATTCGTAGTGATGAGAAACAGCACAAAAAATCGAATTCTTTGTAATTGGCTATTGGATTTATATCTGAATGCATACTGCATCGGTTTCACTCGTGATCTTATATTCACCATAGTTTTCTTCTCTGCGTCTACCATTAAAGTTTTACAATTCATCTGGTCTATGAATACCGATACAAACACGATTCGAATCAAATTTACAATCAAAACAAAGGCCAAATTTCTTTTTTTATCATTTTCTTTCTCTTGGTGAAGCATGTGATGAAAAGAGCAAGAGATGTAACTCTGAGTCAGTTATTATCATATTTCATCATTTGAAGTTCCTTCACGAATTCGTTTTGAAAAATTTCGTACCCGTAAGTAAAGGGTGCTTGTTTCTATTTGTAGGAAACTTAAATAAAAGAAAACAGACATCGATCGAGATAGTGCATGAGTCCCCATGTTTTGACGAAAGGTTGATGTTACTTATTGTTCTATTTTTTTACCACCGAAAAAGATTTTCGAAAATTATTTATTTTCTTGCAGTCCATTGGTCGTGGAATCTATTTATACAACTTTTCATATGAAACAGAAAGAGATGTTGATTTCGTTCTGTGTCTGGTTGAGTTATTCTACAAACCAGATAGAGAGTGATCAATTATACATAGACTTTTCTTTGCCGGTTAACTTCGAGGAAGCTTTGAAAAGATCAGTTGCTAAAATTGAACTACAAACATCGTATCTCGTAAATTAATTACTTTACATGTAGGTACATTAGCAAATAGATAAAACTCGCGAGAATTTTAATTTATGGGTATTAAATTCATCGATGTGTCTTTGTTGATGATCTATAAGTATCTTCAGCTGGACATAATAGTTCACAACAAATATTACAAGCAATTCTTCTACATTCACGAACTCAACCTAAATATCATCGATAGTTAACCGAAGTTCTTTCAAATCTCGCTGAGACTCGAACAGCTACTAATCTGTCTTTATAATTCGTTCTGTTTTCCACAATTGGATTGATCAAAAAACGATTATTATCCTAATAGTCTAGATTAGCAACATGCTTCATTCTCCGACACAACGCTAATCGCTCTCTTCGTCATTAGGATGTGAAATTGAAACGAAGGATGTCAGCGAAGATGAAAGAATAAATATAGATATTGAGAACTACTTCGAAAAGTTTCCGAATTTTGGTCATTTTTATAATTACAAAAGCGATTATATTTGATCCGTTATGGATGCTACTTCGGCGCATTTAATCTACATCTTCAGTCTACTCACGAAAAGTTAGTTTCCTCTTTACTCGATTTGTGCATTGATGCATTTGCTGAAAACAGTCTTTTTAATCATAAAACGTCATAAAAACTTCTTGGAGCTGTATTTTAAACGTGATTGAACACATCTTTATCACAACAAACATGAAGCATTTTACAACTCATGTCGTCGAAATCAGAGACATTAAAATTTATCTCAACACCCGCAGTGAAAAGAATTATTCCAAAAAGCAACATGTTGATTAACTGTAAATCGTATAACTATGCTACAACACTTGTTTTTTACAAGTCAACCATATTGAGATGTTTATTTTCTTTTGTGAAGTCAAAAATTATCTTTCATTCTGTCAAAGTATACGAAGCAATCGAAAATATAACTAAAAAATGGCCATCACGATACGAAGCAATTCTAAAAAAAGCTTTCCAAATTTTTCACTCCCGCCTGATATCTTTCCCCCTGATCCACTCACATATCTTCGATTATTGTAAAACTAATTCAGCGGCCGAAGCTCATTCACAACTGCAAAACGTCTTGAACACGGTTCCGTCCAAAGCAACATGCAAAATTTATAGTTCCTGTTTCGCTCTTTCCAAGTTTCTTTTAAACATTTGAAGGTGAGGATGTGTCGATGGTAGCACTTTTTGAGCGATTTCAACCGCATTCGTGTAAAATAATAAAGCAGTCCTTTGATTACCCATGGTAGAATACGCATTACCAATGTTGTAGTAGGATGAAGCCACATGTGGATGATTGGGAGGAAGTGATTGTAGTTGAATTTTGAGAGCTTGTTCATATGATGGAAGTGCCTTGGGATAATCACCCATGTCAGAAAACGCTGTACCGATGTTGTTGTAGGATGAAGCCATATCTGGATGATTGGGAGGAAGCGATTGTTCTCGTATTTTGAGAGCTTGTTCATATGATGAAAGTGCCTTGCGATAATCGCGCATGGCAGAATACGCTGCACCGATGTTGCTGTAGGATACAGCAATACTAGGATGATTGGCAGGAAGTGATTGTCGTTGAATTTCGAGAGCTTGTTGATATGATGGAAGTGCCTTGAGACAATCACCCATGTCAGAATACGCATTACCGATGTTGTTGTAAGATACAGCCACACTAGGATGATTGGGAGGAAGTGATTGTCGTTTAATTTCGAGAGCTTGTTGATATGATGAAAGTGCCTTGAAATAATCACCAGTGTTGTAATACGCATTACCGATGTTGTTGTGGGATGAAGCCACATCTGGATGATTGGGAGGAAGTGATTGTACTTGAATTTTGAGAGCTTCTTCATATGATGGAAGTGCCTTCGAATAATTGCCCACGGCATAATACGCTGTACCGATGTTGTTGTAGGATGAAGCCACACTAGGATGATTGGGAGGAAGTGATTGTTCTCGTATTTTGAGAGCTTGTTCATATGATAAAAGTGCCTTGGAATAATTGCCCACGGCATAATACGCTGTACCGATGTTGTTGTGGGATGAAGCCACATTTGGATGATTGGGAGGAAGTGATTGTAGTTGAATTTTGAGAGCTTGTTCATATGATGAAAGTGCCTTCGAATAATCACCACTGTTGTAATACGCATTACCGATGTTGTTGTAGGATAAAGCCACACCTGACTGATCCGGAGAAGATGACATCGGGCGAAGTTCAAGAGATTTTCGAAAAAGTGTTATTGCTTCTTCATATTGCCCTTTCTGGCATTTAATGTTACCCAGGTGATTATAGACATGGTTTGTAGAGTCTTCAGAAGGCGTTTCGTCAATCAGAACACGACAGATTCGTTCAGCGATGTCTGACTGTGCTATGTCAGCGAGTACTAGGCTCAGTCGTGACCACCCCTCTGTATTTGGAAAGCTTTCTTTTCGAATTTGTTCAGTAAGTACCATCAATTCTTCGTCATTGTCATTCGTCAATGACAACGTCACTTCGTACGCTTTCTCGTTCCCATCCATGGGCTTAACATCGCTTATGCGAAAGATACTGTGCATCGAAAACAGTACCTCTTCTTCTTCAGGAAACTGACTGATGTGGCGAACCGAAGCAAACGACGTTGTTGATTGCTTTGGATCAATTGTCATCACAAATAGAACACTGACCACATCACTGTTCTGTCGATTTCCTGGAGTAAAGATAAGAGAAACGTTGCGATTCTTACTGGTAGACAGGAAATTATTGAATGACATCAGCCCACCCTTCGTTGCCATCAATTCATTAAAATCTTTCTTCGTTAAACCTTGACCACGGTAAACTGTACAGCATTTAGCAGTAGATGATGCATCACCAAACTGCTGCTTGTGCAATTTTTCAATATGTCGATGAAGGTCATTGATGAAAAAGCCCATCAATGTGATCACTTCACCATCCATCACTCGTAATGCACGATTCAGCATACTGTATAAAAATCTTTGTGTTGTATACCACCAAATAGGTGTGTGCTTATGATATTCGTCTTCCAGTTGTTTCACTTTCTTTCGATCGACTTCAGTATCAACGAAATTATCGCAACAATACTTCACGAATTGTTTGATGTGTTTAGCCTCAAATTGAATTGTTAAAAGTATTTCTTTGATGATCTGTGTGTACATAAATGATGGCTCTAGTCGATCTAATCGTTTACCAGATTGTACAAAACTCATAGGAATAGCATTGGGTTCATATCGACGAGTGATTTTCTTTAATTCTTCACAAATATATATAATATCAATGGAAACACTCTTCACTTTGCACCAGTGTTTGGCCCATTGTTCGTGTTGATTTTGGTCATCAGAGAAAATGAAGATCGAATCGATGTTTGAAATATCATGTACACAAGGTACAAGACGTTGTCCAACTGATCCTGACGTGATCAAACAAACATCTGTGTCGATGAGAGTGAGAATGAAATCGATACATTCATCATTATCAGTGAATGTATAAATATCATTGACAATGTATTGAAGATGTGTGATTGCATTCTGATAATCTTGATTACTGCTGTGGATGTGAGTGTCAAGCCAAATGACAGAAATATCTTGTGTTTCTTCAAGTTTTATGCGATTCAATTCATTTGCTTGTTGAAAGGTGGCCGGTGTCTGCTCGAACATATCCAAACTGCCTTGCTTCTGATTTGTCATTGCTGTGAGATTGGATTATTTATAAGGTAGTTATTGTAAGATGTGAGAAATGGTTGTTTGGTAGAGAACGATAAAAATAATGTGCTCCTTCACTCTTTATGAAACTTGGAAAAAACATTCCTTCTTCTTCCTAGACAAACATTCTTACTCTCAAAATGAATCTCTGACGACAGTATAAGACGAAAAAGAAAAATAACGACATTTTGATTTCAAAACTCGTGAATAGAGCACGAAGCCGCCAAAACGCTATGGTTTGTTTATACAGCTTCATGCATATAGTCAAACAAAAATCGAACAGAGAAATTCTCAGCTGAATCAGCAGCTTCTCCAGTTTCAGTCGAATATAAATGCAGATTTCAAACGCAAATCGAAGTATAAAATTATTTCTCTTGGAAAACATAATTCTATGCATGTATGAAATTAGAATTGCATTCAGTTCTAATACATCTTCAAAGTACAACTCTAATCTTTCTAACTTATTTTTGAAGTTAACAAAAACAGTCGAGTATTCATGTGCATTCGAAGTTACATTAGGCAGCTCATGCTCTGATCACGAATTATGCGCGTCGCAAACTTTTGAAACTTCTAAAATTCAATAGCAAACAACACTTAAACACAGTACTTGTTGTATATGAGGATGATGAAATTGAAAAGGCTTTCGAAAACAATCATAATTTCAGGTTTGATAATCTAAACGTCTCTTTGTTGTAATTGTCTCATCACTTCAGATACGATTCCTGAGTTACGAAAAAGTATTGAAATACAAATGTATTCTCATGGCGTGCTGTGATATTTTTTTGTCACGCAAATTGCTTTGCGTTTCTTTTTCTAACAATACACGAAGAATAGTTGAATCCGACCGGTTCGAACTCAGGATTACACGTCACTTTGTAATGATGAAAGAGTCTCGTAGTATTATCATGTCTTTATTTAAATATCATATTGACATCCATAGATTACGCCCGAATAAATATTTATCGTCTTCATCCATTTTTACCTCGACTAACCACAGCGAGTGCAAATAAATAGATCGATTCAGGCATTCGATCCGAAAATAAGTCTAATTGATACTTGTATTTCCATGAAAACCATCGCCGTTGAGATTGAGCTAACAGTTCGCTCTTCGATGAATCGACAATATCTACTATCCACGGTGTTATAAGATAACTGGTTATCGACAGATGACTGCCGTTCCATTCGATTGTATAATTAGTATGGAGCCATTGTGAATTTTCGATAATCTTTCCTTCGGCCCATTGATTCGACGTTGTGTTATGAATAGAAAACGTCGCTTGATATAATTTCTTCTTGGTTTTACCTCGAATTTTCGCTATGACTTTTTTCGATGGATAAACGACGAGTTTTAGTTTATCGTATAGACCATAACTGGATTCGATTCGATAATAAAGATTCTTCTCTGATTTATCATATATTGAATATTCGGGTGCTTTGAATCCACTGAAATAATCTCGAACTAACACATAGGTCGCATAGCTCGGATGCTTTATTTCCATCGATAAGATCAAAGTTGTTGAAACGAGAAGAATTGAACAAAGAAATCGAAACATTATGACTTGTGCGTCTGAAAAAATGAATGATACTATCGTTCGAACTTCTTTTCGCTGTTCTTATCAAATCTACGCATTCTTTGTTTCATACATCACGCATCATATTTCACTTTTTCATTTCTTTGTCGATCAGCATCTTCATCCTCGACATTACCATTTCCATCACGCATATGTACAAGGATAAAAAAGTATATAGACTATTGATTGACTTCTATCTCACCCAATAAAAACACAGACTAGTAGATATCGCTCGAATGTCGGAATGGATGATACTTATGGTAATAAATTTCTTCGACAGATTCACCATTTTTCTAAAGTTTGACTGGATTAAATAACGAAACGAAGAGCTTTTATTCGAAGTCACTATGTGTATCAATCGTCAGTAATTACCGTTCTTTCAAAATTATTCCAGGATAGTAATGAGTCATTGTATCGCGTAACGAACAACCGAACGATACAGATTTTCTTCCTATTGGAGTAAATAATATTCTCTAATCAGACGCAATGTACACATATGTTCTACATTATTTTCAAAAACACGTACGCCATTTGGCAGTATCTCAACAACTCGTACCGATATAAAACATCTGGATTTACGTGTGTTATACGACGATTAATTTCATAATCACAAAGCCAATGCGCACATAAATTCACGTAGGCTTCGATTTTCCCTCATGATTTATTGCGCTCAAATAGTTTCTTTATGTACGGACGTCACGCTTGTAGTAGCACAGAAGACGTACCTCGAAATCTGTCTCGATACTTAATTGTCTAATTATTTCTAAATAATTTTCGTTTAGTATTTATTTTGAAGGTGCACATCAACGATTGCTTTTTTTCTATAATGCAGTCGACATCGCGAGCTGATGAATATAATGTCGCAATCATTTGGCAAGTTTGGCTGTCAAGTTCAATTGATTTCTCTGAAATAATTGCTGAAGTCAAACATCAAGCTCAACTATCGGCTGATTATTTACGAACATATCGAGAAGCCAACGAATGTGAACAATTTATCCGTTCGGTTTCAACAACCGATCGAATTGTCTTCATTGTTGATGATTCATTAGCCGAACAGATCCTCTCTAAAATTCACGATCTTCAGCAAATCTATGCTGCTTTTATCTACACAACAAATGCCGAATTGACCGACGCAGAATTCAAGAAATTCTCCAAAGTAACCACCATGTTCTCTCTTCGAAAACTTTCTCTTTTTTAGTTCCGAGGTATCCGTATGCGTCTAAACCAACTGATTGCTTTGAATCGTAAACGCTATGATCGACGTCAACGACAAGAACGTCGCCGTCGAGAAGAACCACAGGAAGTTGACGAACAATTGACGTTTAATATCCTAAACACCGAACTTGACGAAGATAAATCCACTGCTGAACTAGATGGTCAATTTGTTCATTCACAACTGTTAATCGATTGTCTTCAACGAATGAAATCAACTTCGAAAGAAATTGAACAATTCGTGAAATTCTGTCGCAGTCACAAAGAGTACGAAAAGGATTCTAAACATTTGAAAATTGTAGACGAGTTCCAGGATTATTATTCCATGGAAAACTCCCTCTGGTGGTATACGAGAGACACGTTTGTTTATCGGATGTTGAACAAAGCACTTCGGATACGCAATATCGATATTTTATACCTTTTCCGTTTCTTTATTCGCGATCTGGCGGAACAATTGAAAGAAAATCAATGGTTATCTCCTGGATCTGTTTATCGAGGTCAATCGTTGTCGAAATTTGAAATCAATCGACTTGAACAATCGATAGGAAAGTTAATTTCAATCAATTCTTTTCTGTCCACTACATTACATCGCGAAGTCGCTTTGATCTACCTTGGAGAAATACCTGATCTAGAAAAAGTCCTATTCAAAATTGATTTCAATCCGCTGTTGGAAGGAATCAAACCATTCGCAGACATCACAATCTTCAGTGAGTTCCCTCAAGAGGGAGAGATCTTGTTTATGCTTGGTTCAATCTTTCAAATCGAGAATGTTTTCCGCGACGACACCAACACGTGGATTGTGCAATTGAATTTATGCAGTGACCATGACCAAGTTCTCAAATCGATCTTTCAATTCTTAAGAAAAGAATCCAGCCGATGTGACTTTGATCTTTTAGCGTTCGGAAATGTTTTGCACGACATGGGAGAATTCGAACAAGCGAATAGTTATTACAATCGATGTCTAGAAATCTTGCCAGCGGAAGATCATATCTGGAAACCTTACTGTTACTATTTGTTGGGATTAATCGCGACAGAAAATGGTGAAAACAAATACGCCCTTCAACTTTTTGATAAATCTATATTTATGCGAAGACAAACGTTACCGCCATCAGATCCAAGCATTGCGGACACAATGAATGCTATTGCTAGAGTGTATTACGTGCAAGGAAATCTGGAACTAGCTTTAGATTTGTATAAACAAGCACTGGATATTTTTCAAAAAGCATTTAGTGAAGATGATTTGACCAGTGCGATGACTTACACGAACATCGGTGTGGTTTGTCGAGCATTGGAGAGATATTCGGAAGCACTTGATTATCATAAGAAAGCATTGGATATTCGTCATCGACATCTGCCAGCGGATCATTTTCGATTCGGAACGTCGAATAACAACATGGGTGAAGTTTATCTCGGTCTCGGTGAATATGACGTCGCTTTGAAACATTTCGAAGCAGCACATGAGATTTACAAGAAGTCATTACCTTCACGACATGTCGATATTGCGATATTGTTGATCAACAAAAGCTTCATTTATGAGCAAAAAGGTGATTTACAAGAAGTTCTTGCATCTTATAANGTACTCAGAAAGTGAGTATACTATGGAATGGGTCAGTAGGTCCGTCTGCCCGTTAATCCAATAACTCCTGAAAGAATAATCCAATTGTCATGAAATTTAGTACATAACAGTATATTGTCAATGTCACACACGAGTTCGAAGATGAGCGCGATCGACTGTAATACTACTAACTTACAAAAAAATTTCTCAGATTCTTATGCGTTCCATCTGATACATTTTTTGAAGTACACATAACTTTCGGATAAAGTCCGAAGTTTTCGCATTTATTATCATTTTCTTTCTCTTGTTGAAGCATGTGATGAAAAGAGCAAGAGATATAACTCTGAGTCAGTTATTATCATACTTCATCATTTGAAATTCCTTCACGAATTCGTTTTGAAAAACTTCGTACCCGTAAGTAAAGGGTGGTTGGTTCTATTTGTAGGAAACTTAAACAGAAGAAAGCGAACATTGATTGAGGTAGTGCATGAGTCCCCATATTTCGACGAAAGATTTATGTTACTTATTGTTCTATTTTTTACCACCGAAAAATATTTTCGAAAATTATTCATTTTCTTGCAGCTCGTTGGTCGTGGAATCTATTTGTAAAATTTTTATATGAAAAAGAGAGAGATATTGATTTCGTTCTGTACTTGGTTGAGTTATTCTACAAACCAGATAGAGAGTGATCAATTATACACAGACTTTTCTTTGTCGGTTAACTTTGAGGAAGCTTTGAAAAGATTAGTTGCGAAAATTCAACTACAAACATCACATTTCGTAAATTAATTACTTTATATGTAGGCGCATCAGCAAATGGATAAAACTCGCGAGAATCTTAATTTATGGGTATTAAACTTATCGATGTGTCTTCATTGATGATCTACAAGTATCTTCAACTGGACATAATAATTCACAACAAATATTACAAGAAATTCTTCTACATTCACGGACTCTAACTGAATATCATCGATAGATAACTGAAAAAGTTCTTTCAAATCTCACTGAGACTCGAACAGCTACCCAGGTCGAACAATCCCATACTCGGATCCCATCGGATCCCATCGAATCCAATCGAATCCCATCGGATCCAATACAGAATTTTATCGGATCCTACAGGAATTCGACGGCTCCGATGAAATCCTGGTGACGGAATCGCATTGGATTCCGACGGTCTCGGATCCGATCGGATCCCACGTCGGATCTTGTCGGATCCGAAACATGGATTTCCTGGATTTTCTAAGGGTCATCATAGAATATAGCTAGAAAGATCGCTCATAAAATTTGCAACAACCGACGGGATTTTTCTAGTCGGATTACAATGCAATTCCGTTTCCAGGAATCCGATCGGATTTTGTCAGATGGTCGGATCCGGTAAGATCCGATCGGATCCAGCATCGGATTTGTTGACCTGGGTACTAAATTGTTTTTAGCGCTTGTTTTGTTTTCTACAATTTGATTGATCAAAAACGATTATTATCCTAATAGTCTAGATTAGCAACATGCTTAACTCTCCGACACAACGCTAATCGCTCGCTTCGTCATTAGGATGTGAAATTGAAACGAAGGATGTCAGCGAAGATGAGAGAATAAATATAGATATTGAGAACTACTTCATAAATCATAATCGTAGATTTTAGACGTTCCAGAAAGGCCTCGAAAAATTTCCGAATTTGGGTCATTTCTATAATTACAAAAGAGATTATACCATGAGATGCCTAATTCGACTTATATTATAAGTCGACCCCCGACAGGCTAGTATCAATTCGAATATAAATAGATACCTATATCACACTTATAACAAATGAGTAGATAGGAATAGAAATAGATTTAGTTTTACTTATGCATATGCACACCCACACCCTCACTTGAGGTTGGGTGTACACGCGGATATATCTCGATTGAGGGTGCCGCGGTGGGTGTGAGTGTAAGGGTGTGAGTGTGAGGGTGTGAGTGTGAGGGTGTGCGTGAAGGTGAGGGTATGTATGTATAAGTAAAACTAAATCTATTTCTATTCCTAAGGATGCTAGGAATTGGTCACTTATATTATAAGTCGAATTAGGCAGCTACTCGATTATACTTGATCAGTTGTGGACCCTACTTTGGTGTATTTAATCTACATCTTCAGTCTACTCACGAAGTGTTAGTTTCCTCTTTACCCGTTTATGCATTGATGCCTTTGCTGAAAAGAGTCTTCTCTATAATAAAATGTCATAAAAACTGCTTCCAATTGTATTTTAAACGTGATTCAACACATTTTTATCACAACAAACATGAAGCATTTTACAACTCATGTCGTCGAAATCTGCGACACTAAAACTTATCTCAACGACCGTCGTGAAAAGAATTATTCCAAAAATCAACATGTTGATTAACTCTGAATACTATAACTGCTACATCATTTGTTTTTTTTACAAGTTAACTATGTTGACACGTTTATTTTCTTTTGCGAAGTCAAAAATTATCTTTCATTCTGTCAAAGTATACGAAGCTATCGAAAATCTAGCTGAAAAATGGTCTTCAAGATACGAAACAATTCTAAAAAAAAAACTTCCCAAAATTTTCACTCCCGCTTGATATCTTTCCCGCTGATTCACTCACATATCTTCGATTATTGTAAAAATAATTCAGCCGGCGAAGCTCATTCACAACTGCAAAACGTCTTGAACACGGTTCCGTCCAAAGCAACATGCGAAACTTATAGTTTCTCTTTCGCTCTTTTCAAGTTTCTTTTAAACATTTGAAGGTGAGGATGTGTCGATGGTAACACTTTTTGAGCGATTTGAACAGCATTTGTGTAAAAAAATAAAGCAGTCCTGTGATCACCCATGTTGTAATACGCTGCACCGATGTTGTTGTGGGATGAAGCCACATCTGGATGATTGGGAGGAAATGATTGTTCTCGCATTTTGAGAGCTTGTTCATGTGATGAAAGTGCCTTGAGATAATCACCCATGTGAGAATACGCTGCACCGATGTTGCTGTAGGATAAAGCCACATGTGGGTGATTGGGAGAAAGTGATTGTAGTTGAATTTTGAGAGCTTGTTCATATGGTGAAAGTGCCTTGGGATAATCACCCATGTCAGAATACGCTGCACCGATGTTGTTGTAGGATGAAGCCACATCCGGATGATTGGGAGGAAGTGATTGTTCTCGTATTTTGAGAGCTTGTTCATGTGATGAAAGTGCCTTGGGATAATCACCCATGTGAGAATACGCTGCACCGATGTTGCTGTAGGATAAAGCCACATGTGGATGATTGGGAGGAAGTGATTGTAGTTGAATTTTGAGAGCTTGTTCATATGATGAAAGTGCTTTGGGATAATCACCCATGTTGTGATACGCTGCACCGATGTTGTTGTAGGATGTGGCCACACTAGGATGATTGGAAGGAAGTGATTGTTCTCGTATTTTGAGAGCTTGTTCATATGATGAAAGTGCCTTGGGATAATCACCCATGTCAGAATACGCATTACCGATGTTGTTGTAGGATCCAGCCACATCTGGATGATTGGGAGTAGATGACATCAACGAGAGTTTAAGAACTTTTTGAAAAAGTGTTATTGCCTCCTCATATTGTCCTTTCTGGCATTTAATCTTACCCAGGCTATTATAGACATGGCTTGCAGAGTCTTCAGAAGGTGTTTCATCAATTAGAACTCGACAGATTCGTTCAGCAATGTCTGACTGTGCTATGTCAGCGAGTACTACACTCAGTCGTGACCATCCCTCTGCATTTGGAAAGCTTTCTTTTCGGATTTGCTCGGTAAGTACCATCAATTCTTCGTCATTGTCACTCGTCAATGACAACGCCACTTCGTACACTTTCTCGTTTCCATCCATGGGCTTAACATCCCTTATGCGAAAGATACTGTGCATCGAAAACAGTACCTCTTCTTCTTCGGGAAACTGACTGATGTGGCTAACTGAAGCAAATGACGTTGTTGACTGCTTTGGATCAATTGTGATCACGAATAGAACACCGATCACATCACTGTTCTTTCGATTTTCAGGAGTAAAAATAAGAGAAACGTTGCGATTCTCACTGGTAGACAGGAAATTATTGAATGACATCAGCCCACCCTTCGTTGCCACCAATCGATCAAAATCTTTCTTCATTAAACCTTGACCACGGTAAACTGTACAGCATTTAGCAGTCGATGATGCATCACCAAACTGTTGTTTGTGCAATTCTTCAATATGTCGATGAAGGTCACTGATGAAAAAGCCCATCAATGTGATCACTTCACCATCCATCACTCGTAATGCACGATTCAGCATACCATATAAAAATCTTTGTGTTGTATACCACCAAATAGGTGTGTGCTTATAATATTCGTCTTCCAGTTCTTTCACTTTCTTTCGATCGAATTCGTTATCAACGAAATTATCGCAACAGTACTCCACGAATTGTTTGATATGTTTGTCCTTAAATTGAATTGTTAACAGTATTTCTTTGATGATCTGTGTGTACATAAATGATGGCTCTAGTTGATCTAATCGTTTACCAGACTGTACAAAACTCATAGGAATAGCAGTGAGTTCATATCGACGAATGATTTTCTTTAATTGTTCACAAATATGTATAATATCAATCGAAACACTCTTCACTTTGCACCAGTTTTTGGCCCATTGTTCGTGTCGATCTTGGTCATCACAGAAAATGAAGATCGAATCGATGTTTGAAATATCATGTACACAAGGTACAAGACGTTGTCCAACTGATCCTGACGTGATCAAACAAACATCTGTGTCGGCGAGAGTGAGAATGAAATCGATACATTCATCATTATCAGTGAATGTACAAATATCATTGACAATGTATTGAAGATGTGTGATTGCATTCTGATAATCTGGATTACTGCTGTGAATGTGAGTGTCCAGCCAAATGACAGAAATATCTTGCGTCTCTTCAATTTTTATACGATTAAATTCATTTGCTTGTTGAAAGGTGGCTGGTGTCTGCTCAAACATATCCAAACTGCCTTGTTTCTGATTTGCCATTGTTGTGGGTTAGGATTATTTATAAGGTAGTTGTTGTAAGATGTGAGAAATGGTTGTTTGGTAGAGAACGATAAAAGTAATGTGCTCCTTCACTCTTTATGAAACTTGGAAAAAACATTCCTTCTTCTTCCTAGACAAACATTCTTACTCTCAAAATGAATCTCTGACGACAACATAAGACAAAAGAGAAAGATAACGGCATTTTGATTTTGAAAAATCGTGAATAGAGCGCAAATTCATCAAAACGCTGTGGTTTGTTTATACAGCTTCATGCATATAGTCAAAAAAAAAATCGAACATCGTACAAAATCATTGATTTATTCGTTAAATAACTTTTCAATTTCACATCGAACAGAGAAGTTCTCAGCGGAATCAGCAGCTTCTGCAGTTTCAGTCAAATATAAATGCAGATTTCAAACGCAAATCGAAGTATAAAATTATTTCTGAAGGAAAACATAATTCTATACATGTACGAGATTAGAACTGTATTCAGTTCTAACACATCTTCAAAGTACAATTCTCATCTTTCTAACTTATTTCTGAAGTTAACAAAAACAACCGAGCATTCATTTATATTCGAAGTTACATTGGGCAGGTCATGCTCTGATCACGAATTACTCGCACCAAGCTTCTGAAACTTCCGCAATTCAATAGCAAACAACACGTAAACACAGTACTAATTATATATGAAGATGCTGAAATTGAAATGGCCGTCAAAAACAATCATAATTTCAAGTTTGATAACTTAAATGTCTCGTTGTTATAATTGACTCATTACCCTAAATATGATTTTTGAGTTACGAAAAAGTATTGAAATACAATGTATTCTCATGACGTGCTGTGATATTTTTATCACGCAAATTGATTTGCATTTCTTTTTCTAACAATACACGAAGCATAGTTGAATCCGACCGGTTCGAACTCAGGATAACACGTCACTTTGTAATGATAAAAGAGTCTCGTAGTATTATCATGTCTTTATTTAAATATCATATTGACATCCATAGATTACGCTCGAATAGATGTTTATCGTCTTCATCCATTTTTACCTCGACTCACCACAGCGAGTGCAAATAAATAGATCGATTCAGGCAATCGATCCGAAAATAAGTCTAATTGATACTTGTATTTCCACGAAAACCATCGCCGTTGAGATTGAGCTAACAATTCGCTCTTCGATGAATCGACAATATCTACTATCCACGGTGTTATAAGATAACTAATTATCGACAGATGACCGCCGTTCCATTCGATTGTATAGTTAGTATGGAGCCATTGTGAATTTTCGATAATCTTTCCTTCGTCCCATTGATTCGACGTTGTATTATGAATAGAAAACGTCGCTTGGTATAATTTCTTCTTGGTTTTACCTCGAATTTTCGCTATGACTTTTTTCGATGGATAAACGACGAGTTTTAGTTTATCGTATAGACCATAACTGGATTCGATTCGATAATAAAGATTCTTCTCTGATTTATCATATATTGAATACTCGGGTGCTTTGAATCCACTGAAATAATCTCGAACTAACACATAGGTCGCATAGCTCGGATGCTTTATTTCAATCGATAAGATCAAAGTTATTGAAACGAGAAGAATTGAACAAAGAAATCGAAACATTATGACTTGTGCGATGTGAAAAAAATGAATGATTCTATCATTCGAACTTCTTTTCGCTGTTCTTATCAAATCTACGCATTCTTTGTTTTATACATCACGCATCATATTTCACTCTTTCATCTCTTTGTCGATCATCATCTTCATCCTCAAGATTACCATTTCCATCACGCATATGTACAAGGATAAAAAAGTAGACTATTGATAGACTTCTATCTCAACCAATAAAAACATAGACTAGTAGATATCGCTCGAACACCGGAATGGATGATACTTATGATAATAAATTTCTTCGACATATTCACCATTTTCCTAAAGTTCGATTGGATTAAATAACGAAACGAAGAACTTTTATTCAAAATCACTATGTTTGCCAATCGTCAGTAATTACCGTTCTTTCAAAATTATTCCTGGATAGTAATGAGTCATTGCATCGCGTAACGAACAACCGAACGATACACATTTTCTTCCTATTGGAGTAAATAATATTCTCTAATCAGACGCAGTGTACATATATGTCCTACATTATTTTCAAAAACATGTACGCCATTTGGCAGTATCTCAACAACTCGCACTAATAAAACATTTGGATTTATGTGTGTCATACGATAATTAATTTCATAATTACAGAACCAATGCGCATATAAATTCGCACGTAGGCTTCGATTTTTCCTCATGATTTATTGCGCTCAAATAGTTTCTTTGTACGGACGTCACGCTTGTAGTAACACAGAAGACGTACCTCGAAATCTGTCTCGATACTTAATTGCCTAATTATTTCTAAATAATTTTCGTTTGGTATTTATTTTGAAGGTGCACATCAACGATTGCTTGTTTTCTATAATGCAGTCGATATCGCGAGCTGATGAATATAATGTCGCAATCATTTGGCAAGTTTGGCTGTCAAGTTCAGTTGATTTCTCTGAAATAATTGCTGAAGTCAAACATCAAGCTCAACTATCGGCTGATTATTTAAGGACATATCGAGAAGCTAACGAATGTGAACAATTTATCTGTTCAGTTTCAACAACCGATCGAATTGTCTTCATTGTTGATGATTCATTAGCCGAGCAGATCCTCTCTAAAATTCACGATCTTCAGCAAATCTATGCTGTTTTTATCTACACAACAAATGCCGAATTGATCGACGCCGAATTCAAGAAATTCTCCAAAGTAATCACCATGTTCTCTCTTCGAAAACTTTCGCTTTTTTTAGTTCCGAGGTATCCGTACGCGTGTAAACCAACTGATCGCTTTGAATCGTAAACGCTATGATCGACGTCAACGGCAACAACGTCGCCGTCGAGAAGAACCACAGGAAGTTGATGAACAATTGACGTTTAATATCCTAAACACCGAACTTGACGAAGATAAATCCACTGCTGAACTAGATGGTCAATTTGTTCATTCACAACTATTAATCGATTGTCTTCAACGAATGAAATCAACTTCGAAAGAAATCGAACAATTCGTGAAATTCTGTCGCAGTCACAAAGAGTACGAAAAGGATTCCAAACATTTGAAGATTGTGGAAGAATTCCAGGACTACTATTCTGTGGAAAACTCACTCTGGTGGTATACGAGAGACACGTTTGTTTATCGGATGTTGAACAAAGCGCTTCGGATACGCAATATCGACATTTTATACCTTTTCCGTTTCTTTATTCGCGATCTGGCGGAACAATTGAAAGAAAACCAATGGTTATCTCCTGGATCTGTTTATCGAGGTCAATCATTGTCGAAATTTGAAATCAACCGACTTGAACAATCGATAGGAAAGTTAATTTCAATCAATTCTTTTCTATCCACTACATTACATCGCGAAGTCGCTTTGATCTACCTTGGAGAAATACCTGATCTAGAAAAAGTTCTATTCAAAATTGATTTCAATCCGCTGTTGGAAGGAATCAAACCATTCGCGGACATCACAATCTTCAGTGAGTTCCCTCAAGAGGGAGAAATTTTGTTTATGCTTGGTTCAATCTTTCAAATCGAGAATGTTTTCCGTGATGACACCAACACGTGGATTGTGCAATTGAATCTATGCAGTGACCATGACCAAGTTCTCAAATCGATCTTTCAATTCTTAAGAAAAGAATCAAGCCGATGTGACTTTGATCTTTTAGCGTTCGGAAATGTTTTGCACGACATGGGAGAATTCGAACAAGCGAATAGTTATTACAATCGATGTCTAGAGATCTTACCAGCGGAAGATCATGTCTGGAAACCTTACTGTTACTATTTGTTGGGATTAATCGCGACAGAAAATGGCGAAAACAAATACGCTCTTCAACTTTTTGATAAATCTATATTTATGCGAAGACAAACGTTACCGCCATCAGATCCAAGTATTGCGGACACAATGAATGCTATTGCTAGAGTGTATTACGTGCAAGGAAATCTGGAATTAGCTTTAGATTTGTATAAACAAGCATTGGATATCTTTCAAAAAGCATTTAGTGAAGATGATTTGACCAGTGCGATGACTTACACGAACATCGGTGTGGTTTGTCGAGCAATGGAGAGATATTCGGAAGCACTTGATTATCATAAGAAAGCATTGGGTATTCGTCATCGACATCTTCCAGCGGATCATTTTCGATTCGGAACGTCGAATAACAACATGGGTGAAGTTTATCTCGGTCTCGGTGAATATGACGTCGCTTTGAAACATTTCGAAGCAGCACATGAGATTTACAAGAAGTCATTACCTTCACGACATGTCGATATTGCGATATTGTTGATCAACAAAAGCTTCATTTATGAGCAAAAAGGTGATTTACAAGAAGTTCTTGCATGTTATAANAATCTATTATTGACAATGCGGAAAAAACTCAAGAATTGTCTTCGTTGAAATCGTGTGAAACACTTTGGTTGAAATCATTTCTTCCTTTCAAGTGCATCGCGTCTCTCGATCCACGTTCAGCGTATAGACAAAATTTGCTAGAATGTGCGACGAAGTAAAAAAAAAACAGTACGGTTTGTCCTATTATTTTTGTGTTCATTTCAGTTGAAAGTGAATCTCTATAAATAAAAGAGAAGAGGAGGAAGTGATAGAAGGTAGAACCGATGAACGTTGGCATTGTTGCTTAACATTTTATATTTAATATTCACGGACGAACCTAATAAGTCTTGCGAAGAAGGTAGTTTTAGTGTAATAACAGTTTGTTCGGTGTTCACCCTGCGGAATAATGAACAGCCTTTACCGAATCCTGTACGGTCAACCGTCGTTTTGATCTCGCCATTCATACGTATAGAATGGGAGGCTGCGACAGCGAAATCAATCGTAGTTTCACTGTATAAATAAGCACCGCGGCTTTACTCAATTCAATATTAATTTCAAACAATGAGCTTTTACACGAAAATACGGTCGTTGTATTATCCCATAGAACAAACGATGCACGTTTCAACGCAGGTCACATTGTGCCATGAAACTGATGGTTTGTCGACATGCACGAAAAGACTTGTTCACTTCTATATTATTTAATTAGCACGGGCATCGATGTACGAGATACATCAGGTAAAATCGTGTAATTCTAATCTAGAACCAACAGCCCAGTCGCAAGATCAACCCAAATCGCTAATATACGTGCTGTGTCTGTTTCATTGAGAGGACCAATGTCTAGATAATTTCCTGTTTTATTCTCACAATCAATTCCCAATGACGCATATTGTCACTGTGAATGCAGAAGGTAACCTATATTCGAATGACCTATATGTATCCATTGAATATTGGATGTTCTTCCTTTAACAAAAGGAAACGAATAGTTACCATCAGAAAGTTTAACAGTAGTCTCATTAAAGAAACCAACAGTTATTTGTCCAATGGGAAGCAAACGATTCGCCAAGATTGTCCATCCTGTTGTTTGCGTTATCAATGTAAGGTCTGTAGCCAATGCGATTATTACGTCATCATAAAAGTGCCATGATCGTGTAGCAGTCAGATTATGTGTTATTGTATTCATCATTGCTAAACCATATTGATCAGCGTTAACTCTGCCGACAAATGCATACCATTCAGCGCTTTCCAATTGAGAAGTGGAAAAATATTGTCGTAATCATAAGTTTGACTTGTGTATAAATTAAGCACACCTTGACCACTATGTTCTGCTTTTTTATCTTCACGACGATTGGCTAAGTTTAATATTTGTACTTTCGTATCATTGGAAAGAATTATGTCAGCTACGATTTGAAGGAATTTCGTATTTAAAAAAAACGAAATATTCTTGGTCTTACCTTTAGTAATAAGCTGCACGAATACCAATAATTGCTGTTCATCGATGGCATATGTTGTCTGATGACTACATACAATCAACGCAAAGATAATTTTGTGCCCAGTCTTTCCCGTAGGCACCGGGCAATAACTGTGTTCCATGAAAATGATAAGACCAATCATTTTGACCCCGCCATTGTTGGACGATAGAATAGTTATATCCTTCCACATTTGTGTACAATCTTGTTCAATACTTGTTAGATTATTCGTTGCTAATGATCGGCAAAGTTCGAATTGAATCATACAGACTAAATTGGCTCCGACATCTCTCGGTCGATTCAACCACCGAGACCTCTCCCGAGTAATCATGCGGGAGCGTCAAAAAGCATAAATATATTGATTTGAAATCTTGAGCAGCTTAATCAATCCACGTATCTGTTAAAGCATATTGTCGGTACAAAAAAATGCTCGATTTGCTGGAGCACGTGACACAAGTTTAATGTGAAAGAATTATCGAAAAAAAAACTAACAAAGACACTTTTATTGGGAACAACCAAATACACGTAGTAATACTGTTTAATCTATTCTATTTCATGCGGAGCTACCACAAACACGGTAAAAAGGTCAGTTTTGAAGAATTATGACTAAGTGAAGAAAGATTTGCTTCGCTAATCGAAACAGAAGGTTCAGCTTTATCTCAATATCAGCAAAGCCTTCCTCAAGGTCAAGAGAATCAACTCGCGCGATAGTTTTCCCATTAAAGTTTTATGGAAACGGTCCGAGGTTATTTTTTGCAAAGATACTTCCTTGCAATGGAAATCAACTATAAAAGGAGCTTTTAATGATTGAATATTATAAGAATAAATACATGTGACATCAATAAAAAAACATACTTTCAATAAAGAAGGATATTTGATACTGTTATGAAATTTTCTTCTCTTTGTTGTTTTGATTGGATAAGAAATCAATCGGACGATGATTAACAATAAAAGACATATACTTACATTTTTCCATTGCAGCCGCCGAAGGCACAGAGTGAGACACTATCGGTGTCAAAGCTTACTTGGACATCAATTCTTTTTATCACGGCGAAGAACACATATTCTCCGACACCGATTATTCAACTAGACATGTTGTAGATGAAAATCATTTGGATTGAACTGCAACAAATATCGCTTACAATGGAATATTTGTTGAAGTGTCAACTAGATATGGGAATACCTCTCAAGCAGAATTCCTTTTTGTAACAGTTTCATTCAGAGCACTGAAACCGGAATTAATTGAATTCAGTCCTCAACTGCCACAATGGAAACTGGATGCCATTGATCGAATAGGTTTTGGCGTTCACGAAAAAATCTCCTTATACTATATGGGATCTGGTATGATAGAACTCTTCTGATGTTTCTTTCGTACGGTTGTCGATTGAACTGTCTGACCACCAATGTCGCTGTGTTTCGAGTAAATGGAATAGCAGATAAAAAATATACGTGTCTATTCGCCGCAAAATTAACACAATCTAGATTGAATCGTCCACAAGAATTGCAATACATTGCAAAAAACAATTCGTTTTTTCGTGGATCATGTTTTTACATCTCATGCAGACAGAACTACGGAGATCCTCTGTAAATCGTCTATTGCTTGCAAGCGAGGCTACAAGTACCGGCACCTATGAATACACTCGTGGAGTATTGGTTAGCGCGCGACGAGGAGTGACACGACTTTCATTTGTTTATGGCCTGTTTTGAAAATAAGAAGAAATTGCTTCGAAATCGGTAATAAATACACCCATCGAATCTGTCATCTTTCTTGTTCATCGTAAATATCTCATTTTTTCAAATATTGTGAAAGAAACACCTGATGACTCATTTTTTCTCTTTCTTTTTTTATTGGTAGAAGAAAAATAGAACGTGCGTAAAAGGAGCATCAAGAATATGTTTCTCTTTCACAATCAAAATCAACACCAAGCACATAGCGTCCTCATGTCTACTCTCGAAACATTACCCGATGAGATTTTAATGACCATTATCAGATACTCGGGCGACGCTCATTCGTTATTTCGAACCTACTCGGGATTAAATCAACGTTTCAACAGCATTCTCATCGATAGACGTTTGCATCTTTTCTCGGAACTATTATACACGAACGTCGATGACGTTAGTCTACAATATTATTTTAATTCGCATGCATTTCAACAAATTTGTCATCAGTTTGTCTCTTTGAAGGCGTCAAAAAACGACAAACAGCTTCGAGAATGCATTCGGTCGTTAATCATCTCGTATATTCAAGAAAAATATGCTCAATTAGGTCAAGAATTTCAATCAAATATAAAACATTTTCAACTCATACGAGCAAATTTGACCGATGCGGAAAAAAATACTCTCGATTCAGAATTGGCGCACGCATTCAAGCATCTGCCGATTGATGTCTGCTTACACGATTTCTATTGTAGTTGGAATCCGTACTTCTCTCCTGAGTCAATCAGCCATATAAAACAAATCGGACCTCGTATCCTTACGCAAGGCGCTAGCCTTCAGTGTAATGAAAGTGATGAAGAAGGATTAAATTTTACAATGGCATTAAATAAATGGTTATTAGCGAAAGCCAGTCTTACTGAAGCCGAGGATCGATATCTCGTTGACCCTCTCATTCAACTCTTTAAAACTTTACTTGTTTCCAATCCAGTACTTCTAAAAAACAGAGGCTTCACTCGATATAACACGTCTGAACGTTGTGTACATTATTTCCTTATTCATTCGATTTATCATTTAAACTACTTTCACGATTCAAATCTTGCAGTACGCAAACCGATGAAAATGTATTGGTACGGAGCATTGCTCGATCTTCTGTTTTTCGTTATTCACTGTGTCAATTATATTCATGATGAACAAGTTTGCTTGGAAGAACTCCTTTCGGATATTTTAAGCATGATCAAATCGAGTGAACCTTCGACTCCTGATGAAATCTATATTTATGCAACTCAGTTGGCGATATTAAGAATTGTAATTCATGAATCTGAACGAACAAATAGAACATTGAATCATACACATGTGAATTTGTACAATCTATTCAAGAATGATCAACTAGATTTAATTCGTTTACTGTATAGCGAAAGTGTACAAGTGCGAAGTCTATGTCATCAAATTAAGATTACTGAAAATATTGTTAAGATTATGATTGCAAGTCGAAAGAAAATACAATTATTAAGTACACTTTTGGATGATCCATTATTCAAATCATGGTTAGCGAGTTCAGATGTCTTGTTTATATACTTACGAAGGAAACAATGTAAAATTATAAGACATTTATTGAGGTTGTTTCCATGTCTCATTAATCAATTAGATGAACATGGTAATGATCCGTTACTTTATGTTGGTCTCAGAGTACGCGGCTGTCGACATCGTTTAGTAGAATTTCTCATTCAAATGGGGTGCAATGTACATAGAAAAAATACCAAGGGTGAAAGTTTCGTGGACGCATTGAAATTGCCACGCAATAGAACACTGATGAATAAACTGATCGAGCATGAGATTCTTCAAATTGAGGATAGCTTAACGTCAATAAACGTCAATGGTGAAGATTGTTGATGTGACAAGGAACTGATTCAATGGCCGCTAGACATCTCAAGCGCCTTTATTTACCTCAATATATTTATATTTCTTTCGAAATGATAGTCTATTAAACGAGATCAAATGGAAGAAAGTCACTTTCCATATATATATGATAGAACACACAGACGATTTGCGCCGTTGCGACGGACCTCAGAAGTTTTCACGTTCATTACTTGACGCCGATTTTCGTTTGAATGGTGATATAAAGTAGTTTCTGATAGTAACTCGATTTTTTCATACGAACCACATCACTGCTAGAATACTGATAACAGCAAAGGTCAAGAATAAACCAGCCATTGGTTCGATAGTCATCGTAGTAGATGTTTCATCGACACATGAACAGCTAGTTGCTTGAAACCATTTTAATTTAAATGTATCAAGTAAGCCTGCTTCTCTGATGGAAAGAATAGCGACATCTAAATCTTCTTCGCGGAGTCAATTACATTATTCAATAGACCACTATAGATATCACTTATTTATTTTAGTAGGTAAAAAATTTCGTACGCCTCCAGAGATTTCTCTGAGATAATAATCTTCAATAGACAATCCTGTAACAATGCCAATACGACTATACGCGACTTTTCCATCTTTGATGTTGTCAATTCCAGAAATGGCACACGCCGATTTCTTTTAACCCAGCTATGAACTGTGATCAAGCATGTCAATCAACGCATCTGACTGTACGAGGCGTCGGTGAAAGCAGGGTGAATCACCACTAAAGGACACACACGACGAATTAGATCCATTCATTGAACTTAATCGCGCTAGACTCTGGATAAAAAATAAAATGTATCGAATGCAAATAGTCCATACGAACTCACATTATCCGGCCCAGGAAATGAGACTACATCGTACTCTTTCCAAACGTCATATGCTGCGCCAACAGCACTTCCAACGACGGGTGTAATAGTAAGTATGCCGGCTAGTTTCTACCGTGCAGTAGTAGTATTAAAACTATTTAATACAACATCCGAACTCGGTATCCACAGGAGAACAATTCGTGTTAAACTATTAGCGAGAAGACTTTTAAAATCTCCACGAATCTTTAATGTTACAACGTCAAAGACGATGGTTCGTGCAAAGTTCAAGTTGAGGCGATTGCCAATGCAGCCACTGTGTCGGATGAAACAGTACGATGGAAAGTGGGATAAGTGTTCGAGTCAGACAATGTCGGATCTGTTGTGGTATATGAAATCAATGGAATCCCAACTCGTGCAGAAAAGAGTGCAAGAACAGTCGCTTTTCTCGAAAGTTCTGGCCCTATAATACCAACGATATTTGAATTACTTCTTCGCTGACATGTTGTTGCCACGAAATGAATTCTCTTTGTAAAGTAACATTATAACGTTGGGAAAGAATGACGACTGATTAAAACATGGCACGAGCATGAATCGAATCTATAGATGTATGAATCGCATTACAAAGGTTCTTAAAGAGACCTAAGATTTGCATTTTGGATGAAGTAGTCAAAGACCAGTCCGATGGTGCCTGGGNTCTTGCATGTTATAAGAAAGCTTTGAATATCTGCCGGTGTATTTGGCCGCAGAAGAATCTCCGACTAGTGCAAATCAAATCTATTATTGACAATGCGGAAAAAACTCAAGAATTGTCTTCGTTGAAATCGTGTGAAACACTTTGGTTGAAATCATTTCTTCCTTTCAAGTGCATCGCGTCTCTCGATCCACGTTCAGCCTATAGACAAAATTTGCTAGAATGTGCGACGAAGTAAAAAAAAACAGTACGGTTTGTCCTATTATTTTTGTGTTCATTTCAGTTGAAATTGAATCTCTATAAATAAAAGAGAAGACAAGGAAGTGATAGAAGGTAGAACCGATGAACGTTGGCATTGTTGCTTAACATTTTATATTTAATATTCACGGACGAGCTTAATAAGTCTTGCGAAGAAAGTAATTTTAGTGTAATAACAGTTTGTTCGGTGTTCACCCTGGAGAATGATGAACAGCCTCTACCGAATCCTGTACGGTCAACCGTCATTTTGATCTCACCATTCATACGCATTGGATGGGAGGCTGTGACAGTGAAATCAACCGTAGTTCCACTGTATAAATAAGCACCGGCTTCACTCAATTCAATATTAATTTCAAACAATGAGCTTTTACACGAAAATACGGTTGTTATATTATCCCATAGAACAAACGATACACGTTTCAACACAGGTCATATTGTACCATGAAACTGATGGTTTGTCGACATGCACGAAAAGACTTGTTCATCTCCATATTGTTTAAATAGCATGGGCATCGATGCACGAGATACATCAGGTAAAATCATGTGATTATAATCGAGAACAAACAGCTCAGCTCCATGATCAATCCAAATCGTTAATACACGTGCTGTGTCCGTCTCACTGAAAGGATCAATCTCCAGATAATTTCCTGTTTTATTCCCACAAACAATTCCCAATGACGCATATTGTGATTGCGAATGCAGAAGATAACCTATATTCGAATGACCTATATGTATCCATTGAATATTGAATGTTCTTTCTTTAACAAAAGGAAACGAATGGTTACCATCAGAAAGTTTAACAGTAGTCTCATTAAAGAAACCAACAGTTATTTGTCCAATGGGAAGCAAACGATTCGCCAAGATTGTCCATCCTGTTGTTTGCGTTATCAATGTAAGGTCTATAGCCAATGCGATTATTACGTCATCATAAAAGTGCCATGATCGTGTAGCAGTCAGATTATGTGTTATTGTATTCATCATTGCTAAACCATATTGATCATCGTTAACTCTGCTGACAAATGCATACCATTCAGCGCTTTCCGATTGAGAAGTGGAAAAATATTGTCGTAATCATAAGTTTGACTTGTGTATAGATTAAGCACATCTTGACCACTATGTTCTGCTTTTTGATCTTCACGACGATTGGCTAAGTTTAACATTTGTACTCTCGTATCATTGGAAAGAACTATGTTAGCTACGGTTTGAATGAATTTCGTATTAAAAAAAACGAAATATTCTTGGTCTTACCTTTAGTAATAAGCTGCGCGCCAATAATTGCTGTTCATCGATGGCATATGTTGTCTGATGACTACATACAATCAACGCAAAGATAATTTTGTGCCCAGGCTTGCCCATAGGCACCGGACAATAACTGTGTTCCATGAAAATGATAAGACCAATCATATTTGACCCCGACATTATTAGACGATTGAATAGTTATATCCTTCCACATTCGTGTAAAATCTTGTTCAATACCTGTTCGATTATTTGTTGCTAATGATCGATAAAGTTCGATTTGAATCATACAGACTAAATTGGCTCCGACATCTCTCGATCAATTCAACCATTGAGCGGAACGGAATGAGATCTCTTTGATCTTTTCTACTTCGAAACTGGTGACATTATCAACTAGTATCAACAACTGCCCGCTCAAAAATGTTGGAACATTGATTTAATTATGAAACCAATTGAGAGCTTGCCAATCATGAACTAACCAGACATTGAGCACACAGTGAATAGCTGTGCGTATTTGTGGATCATTTTAAGATCTGTTTTCGCTTAAAAAGTGTTGTGTTGCTGGAGATGAAGAGAATAATGAAACATTCTTCAGTTCGAAGAAATTCTCTCCCGAGTAATCATGCGAGAACGTCAAAAAACATAAATATATTGGTTAGAAACTCAGCTTTCAAACGAAAGAATAATCGAAAAAGACTAACAAAGATACTTTTCTACTTCAATGTAGATAGTTCGCTGATATTTTTATCCTTTCAAAACTGCTAACTAATCACTAATACATTACTCTTCTCTTCCTCGTTAACTTTCATTGGGAACAACCAAATACGCGTAGTAATACTATTTGATCTATTCTATGTCAAGTGAAGCTGCCATAAACACAGTAAAAAGGTCAGTTTTAGCTTCTCTAATCGAAACAGAAGGTTCAGATTAATCCCAATAGCAGCAAAGCCTTCATCAGGGTCAAGAGATTAAACTCGTGCAATAGTTTTTCCATTGAAGTTTCATGGAAACTCTGCTAGGTTTTTTTTGCGAAGAAATTTTCTTGAAACTGAAATTAACTATAAAAGGAGTTTTTAATGATTGAATATTGTAAGAAATTCATGCGAGATCAATAACATATTTGATAGTTCACTTTGCTTTTCGTGTTCTGTATGTTATTTACAAAAGTGACACGTTTTTCATTTTTCTCACAACGCGATGTACACGTATCTAATATGAAGATTGAGTATATTCATCGAGTTTATGTCTGACTGGTCTTCTATTAACAACAAAAATAAAATCAAACAAGCTGAAACAGCATATATTATCAATAAAAAACACGCTTTCAACAAAGAAGGATATTTAGTACTGTTATGAAATTTTTTTTCTCTTTGATGTTTTGATTGGATACGAAATCAATCGGACGATAATTAACAATAAAAGACATACTGTCAAGTCTTGCTCTTTAGATTTTCTTTCTATGTCATGACATACAAATAACAGAATACAAAACATGTTTTATTACATTCCATTCACCTCGACAACATATCACTTGTAAGACGCTTAACATTCAAGAAAATGTTCGAAATTAAACACATTATACTGCTTTTGACATTGTTTGAGATGATCTGCGGTGCGAGTTATATTCATAGAATTTACGGCTCGATTCACTAACAAATTCTATATGGGTCTCACGCAAGTTAACATTCGTACTTGGTACGCGTAATGCAAGACTTTTGTATGTAAGGAGAATCGAACATTATTGCTGAGCTCATCTTTTGGTTAATAGACTGATCTATTCACTCAGAAAAAGAATCTTACTGAAGAGCAGCAAAGTACATTTGACAACTACCTACATTTTTCCATTGCAGTCGCCGAAGGCACAGAGTGAGATACTATCGGTGTCAAAGCTTACTTGGACATCAATTCTTTTCATCACGACGAAGAACACATCTTCTCTGACACCGGTTATTTAACTAGACATGTTACAGATAAAATTTCTTTGGAGTAAATTGTAACAAATATCACTTACAATGAATATTGGTTGAAGTGTCAACTAGATATGGGAATATCTATCAAGCAGAATCCCTTCTTATAACAGTTTCATTCAGAGCACTGAAACCGAAATTAATTGAATTCAGTCCTCGACTGGCACAATGGAAACTGGCTGCCATTGATCGAATAGGTTTTGACATTAACGAAAAAGTCTTCTTATACGGTAATGGGTGAGGGTATGATAGAACTCTTCTGATGTTTCTTTCGTACGGTTTTCAGTTGGACAGTCTAACCTCCGATGTCGCTGTGTTTCGAGCAAATGGAATAGCAGATAAAAAATATACGTGTCTATTCGCCGCAAAATTAACACAAAATCTAGATCAAGTCGTCCACAAGAATCGCAATACATTGCAAAAACAATTCGTTCTTTCTTGGATCATGTTTTCACATCTCGTGCGGACAGAACTACGGAGATCCTCTGTAAATCGTCTATTGCTTGCAAGCGAGGCTACAAGTACCGGCACCTATGAATAGACTCATGGAGCATTGGTTAACGCGCGACGAGTAGTGACACGACTTTCATTTGTTTATGGTTTGTTTTGAAAATAAGAAGGAATTGCTTCGAAATCGGCAATAAGTACACCTATCGAATCTGTCATCTTTCTTGTTTATCGTAAATATCTCATTTTTCAAATATTGTGAAAGAAACACCTAGTGACTCATTTTTTCTTTTTTTTTATTGGTAGGAGCAAAACAGAACGTGCGTAAAAGGAGCATGAAGAATATGTTTCTCTTTCGCAATCAAAATCAACATCAGCACATAGTGTCCTCATGTCTACTCTCGAAACATTACCCGATGAGATTTTAATGATCATTATCAGATACTCGGGCGATGCTCATTCATTGTTTCGAACCTACTCGGGATTAAATCAACGTTTCAGCAGCATTCTCATCGATAGACGTTTGCATCTTTTCTCGGAACTATTATACACGACCGTCGATGACCGTTGTCTACAATATTATTTTAATTCGAATGCATTTCAACAAACTCGTCATCAGTTTGTCTCTTTAAAGGCGTCAAAAGATGACAAACAGCTTCAAGAATGCATTCGATCGTTAATCATTTCGTATATTCAAGCAAAATATGCTCAATTAGGTCAAGAATTTCAATCAAATATAAAACATTTTCAATTCATACGAGCAAATTTGATCGATGAGGAAAAAAATACTCTCGATCAAGAATTGGCGCACGCATTCAAGCATCTGCCGATTGATGTCTGCGTACACGATTTCTACTGTAGTTGGAATCCATACTTCAGTCCTGAGTCGATCAGCCATATAAAACAAATCGAACCTCGTATCCTTAGGCAAGGCGCTAGCCTTCAATGTAATGAAAGCGATGGAGAAGGATTGAATTTCACAATGGCATTAAATAAATGGTTATTAGCGAAAGCCAGTCTTACTGAAGCCGAAGATCGATATCTCGTTGATCCTCTCCTTCAACTCTTTAAAACCTCACTTGTTTCCAATCCAGTACTTCTAAAAAACAGAGGCTTCACTCGATATAACACGTCTGAACGTTGTGTACATTATTTCCTTATTCATTCGATTTATCATTTAAACTATTTTCACGATTCGAATCCTGTAGTACGCAAACCGATGAAAATGTATTGGTACGGAGCATTGCTCGATCTTCTGCTTTTCGTTATTCACTGTGTCAATTATATTCATGATGAACAAGTTTGCTTGGAAGAACTTTTTTCGGACATTTTAAGCATGATCAAATCAAGTGAACCTTCGACTCCTGATGAAATTTTTATTTATACAACTCAATTGGCGATATTGAGAATTATACTTCATGAATCTGAACGAACAAATAGAACATTGAATCATACACATGTGAATTTGTACAATCTGTTCAAGAATGATCAACTAGATTTGATTCGTTTACTGTATAGTGAAAGTGAACAAGTGCGAAATTTATGTCATCAAACTAAGATTACTGAAAATATTGTTAAGATTATGATTGCAAGTCGGAAGAAAATACAATTATTAAGTACACTTTTGGATGATCCATTATTCAAATCATGGTTAACGAGTTCAAATGTCTTGTTTATATATTTACGAAAGAAACAATGTAAAATTATAAGACATTTATTGAGGTTGTTTCCATGTCTCATCAATCAATTAGATGAACACGGTAATAATCCGTTACTTTATGTTGCTGTCAAAGTACGCGGCTGTCGACATCGTTTAGTCGAATTTCTCATTCAAATGGGATGCAATGTACATAGAAAAAATACCAAGGGTGAAAGTTTCGTGGATGCATTGAAATTGCCATGCAATAGAACATTGATGAACAAACTGATCGAACATGAGATTCTTGAAATTGAGGATAGCTTAACCTCAATAAACGTCAATGGTGAATATTGCTGATGTGAAAAGGAACTGATTCAATGGCCGTTAGACCTATCAAGCGCCTTTACGTATTTACCTCAACATATTTATATTTCTTTCGAAATGATCGTTTATTAAACGAGATCAAATAGAAGAAAGTCACTTTTCACATATAATGATGGAACACACAGACGATTTACGCTGTCGCGACGGACCTAAGAAGTTTTCATGTTCATTACTTGATGCTGACTTTCGTTCGAATGGTGATATAAAGCAGTTTCTGATAGTAACTCGATTTTTTCATACGAACCACATCACTGCTAGAATACTGATGACAGCAAAGGTCAATAATAGATCAGCCATTGATTTGATAGTCACCGCAGTAGATGTTTCATCGACACCTGAACAGCTAGTTGCTTGAAATCATTTCAATTTAAGTGTATCAAGTAGGTCTGCTTCTCTGATGGAAAGAATAGCAACATCTAAATCTTCTTCGCAAAGCCAGATTTTTGGAAAAACAATTTCCAATGCACTTCGATCAAAATCTGCACCCACTAGTGGTGAATTGCAATAGATGCTAATGGCAGCGTCAATTACATTATTCAATCGACCACTATAGATATCACTTATTTGTTTTAGTGGGTAAAAATTTCGCGCGCCTCCAGAGATTTCTCTGAGATAATAATCTTCAATCGACGATTCTGCGGCAATACCAATACGACTACACGCGACTTTTCCATTCTTGATATCGTCAATTCCAGAAATGGCACCCGCCGATTTCTTTTAAGTCAGTTCGGATGCCAAATTAGCAGTATATGCTGCAACTAGTGCTAAGCCTAGAATATACAGACCGACAGTGAATAAACGACCAGCTGCTGTTGATACATGAAAGTCTGCATCGAAGCCAACAATTGCACTGAACGCAAACCACATATTCATCGCGATCAGTGAAATTAATGATCGACCTTGCAGTGCTTCTTTTCGTTGCTTTTCTAAAATCGTTGTTAAAAAACCGGCGTAAATTGTTGCAACGAGTAGCACAAGCCAAAGTTTCAGAGAGAATGGCTTTAATTATGACAAAAAGTCTAAGTCAGTATCAGTTGATTCGCGTACAATGAGATGCAAGGAACTGTCGAATATAACACTGGAAAAGCCAACCTTTCCTCTTCTGGCAGAAGTGCTAGTGACGTCACCAATAAGCATATCAAAAGTACCGTTAGTCACATCATCGAGAAGTTTGTTGTAAGATTGGTCAGACGAAAAGAAAGTAAAATTAGCAACAAATTCCATTCGATTTTGCAACTGCGCAACCAGGTCTGGTATGTATCCGACTAGTTTAGTTGTTGTTCCACCTGATGCACTTGTAGCTTCTGTAAGCAACGTGAATGGTACTGAATCGATCATCGCAATTCGCACTATGAGACCGAATACAGATGCATAATCTTTCGGAACTGTCGGCGTAGTGTTTGGCCATCTAATCACACTTGTTCTTGCATTCTGATTCCAGTCACTCGAATCGGACCATACTAGCACTGGAGTATAATTTAAACTATCCGATGACTGATAGATGTTTTTTACAATGTAATAATTTCCATCCACTCGATCGGTCGTATGACTACTAAACTGGAGTAGATCCTGTGACGTCCAGCTATGAACTATGATCAAGCATGTCAATCAGCATATATATCTGGCTGTACGAGGCATCGGTCAAAGAAGGATGAATCACTACTAAAGGACACAGACGACGAATCAGATCCATTCATTGAACATAGTCGTGCCAGACTCTGGATAAAAAAAGCAAACGGTATCGAGTGCAAATAGTCCATACGAACTCACATTATCCGACCCAAGAAATGAGACTACATCGTACTCTTTCCAAACGTCATATGCTGCACCAACAGCACTTCCAACGACGGGTGTAATAGTAAGTATACCGGCTAGTTTCTGCCGTGCAGTAGTAGTATTAAAACTATTTAATAAAACATCCGAACTTGGTATCCACATGAAATGCGGAGCGAAAACATCGGATCGAGTGGCAACGTCTATGATGGATATGCGCATAACTGCCTTCCATCTACAGGAGAACAACTCGTGTTAAACTATTAGTGAGAAGACTTTTAAAATCTCCCCGAATCTTTAATGTTACAATGTCAAAGACGATGACTTGTACAAGGTTCAAGTTGAGACAGTTGCCAATGCAGTCACTGTGTCGGATGGAACAGTACGATGGAAAGTGGGATACGTGTTCGAATCAGACAATGTCGGATCAGTTGTGGTATATGAAATCAATGGAATCCCAACTCGTGCAGAAAAGAGTGCAAGAACAGTTGCTTCTCTCGAAAGTTCTGGTCCTATAATACCAACGATATTTGAATTACTTCTTCGCTGACATGTTGTTGCCACGAAATGAATTCTCTTTGTAAAGTAACATTATAACGTTGGGAAAGAATGACGGCTGATTAAAACATGGCACGAGCATGAATCGAATCTATAGATGTATGAATCGCATTACAAAGGTTCTTAAAGAGACCTAAGATTTGCATTTTGGATGAATTAGTCAAAGACCAGTCCGATGGTGCCTGGGAAAATATCAATAATTCAAGCAATAAACACAACAAAGACCAACGTAGTCGTATATTTAACGACCAGGGAAAGATATATGACGGACACAAATAAGCTGCAGAAAGGAAATGTGCTGACAGTTATAGAAATAGACAAGAAGCCTAAATCGATATTATAGTTATATTCAAATGAAAGACATAATATTGCTGTTGCCTATGAAAATAAAAATATCGTCTATTGGGAGTCGTACGTTTCTTCTCACTTAGGTAATAATTAATATCAAGAGTCAAATAGTCAGATGAAAATAGTACACTTTGCGAACTACGCACATAAAGAGAGAGCATATTTTTCGTCCTTTATTAAGTATTGCTTGACAGAAAAGTGAAAGGATGAAGTCGCACAATGCACCTTCGTTTATTGTTATCTATGATCGACTACGTGACTGATGTGAGTCTTTACAAAGCACATGTTTTCAGTCATATTTTGCAGTTTCAAACAATATACCAACTGTTCTTACACAAAAACTTCCATTCTTGCGTATGTGAAAAAAAACTCAATCATCTTATGAGATGCTTTGAACACTTCTGATTCTTATTTCTTCGAAATCATTTTAAAAATATTCTCCGTAGACTACAATGGATTTTATAGAAAAATTCCAGTGAATGTCACCAGCTCATAAATAATGTTTCCGCTGAATGCATCATCGATCATACACGATAATGATAAACATTTGTAATTCAATATTACATAAGAGAATCATTGTTAATTTTGATTTCCGATGGTATGAATTGTAGATGGCTTAGATTTTCTATCGGAGGTGTCACTTGTATCGATTGTCGACGAGGAGTGAATTCGATCGTTTCACCCGAATAACGTGGATATAAGACATTCGGCGAGCTCAATTCAGAATTCTGAAGCGACGGGATACAATCATCACTGGGAACATTGAAACAATTCATTTCATCGTCCTTCGTCCATGTAAATACAACACTCGATAGATTCAAACGATACGCATTGGATGCGGCCGGTATTATAAGCAACGGTGATGTCAGATGACGATTTCCATCATCATCATCATCCAGAAGGTGNAACATGGCACGAGCATGAATCGAATCTATAGATGTATGAATCGCATTACAAAGGTTCTTAAAGAGACCTAAGATTTGCATTTTGGATGAATTAGTCAAAGACCAGTCCGATGGTGCCTGGGGAAATATCAATAATTCAAGCAGTAAACACAACAAAGACTAACGTAGTCGTATATTTAACGACCAGGGAAAGATATATGACGGACACAAATAAGCTGAAAGGAAATGTACTTACAGTATAGAAATAGACAAGAAGCCTAAATCGATATTATAGTTATATTCAAATGAAAGACGTAATATTGCTATTGCCTATGAAAATAAAAATATCGTTTATTGGCAGTCGTACGTTTCTTCTCACTCAGGTAATAATTAATATCAAGAGTCAAATAGTCAGACGAAAACAGTACACTTTGCGAACTACGTACATAAAGAGAGAGCATATTTTTCGTCCTTTATTAAGTATTACCTGACAGCAAAACGAAAGGATGAGGTCGTACAATGCATCTTCGTTTATTGTTATCTATGATCGACTATGTGACTGATGTGAGTCTTTACAAAGCACATGTTTTCGGTCATATTTGCAGTTTCAAACAGTATACCAATTATTCTTACACAAAAACTTCCGTTCTTTCGCATGTCAAAAAAACTCAATCATCTTATCCGATGCTTTGAACACTTCTGATTCTTATTTATTCGAAATCATTTTGAAAATATTCTCCGTAGACTACAATGGATTTCATAGAAAAATTCCAGTGAATGTCACAAGCTCATAAATAATGTTTCCACTAAATACATTATCGATCATACATGATAATGATAAACATTTGTAATTTAATATTAAATAAGAGAATCGTTGTGAATTTTGATTTCCGACGGTATGAATTGTAGATGGCTTAGATTTTCTATCGGAGGTGTCACTTGTATCGATTGCCGACGAGGAGTGAATTCGATCGTTTCACCTGAATAACGTGGATATAAGACATTCGGCGAGCTCAATTCAGAATTCTGAAGCGACGGGATACAATCATCACTGGGAACATTGAAACAATTCATTTCATCGTCCTTCGTCCATGTAAATACAACACTCGATAGATTCAAACGATACGCATTGGATGCGGCCGATATTATAAGCAACGGTGGTGTCAGATGATGATTTTCATCATCATCCAGAAGATGTGTGACTGTTCCAGTAAGAAGAAACAACCTATCGTCGCTGTTCGAATTCACAATAATTTCCGATTGGTTTTTCAATAATTTTGCTTTTTCGCATAAAAGTACTTTCAATTGTGCATGATTGTCTTCTAAACACAGTTTATAGTTATTAATAAGTGTATGCAAAGCAACTTCGATGTAAATTTGATTGCACATATTCTCATCAGCTAACCAAGTGTTAAGTAAATCTTTATCGATAACATATGCTTCTACCAATCCACTACTGACGGTAAATGTTTTTTCAGAGCACACATTATCCGAATGAGAAAATAATGTATCAATGCCAATGATATTGTCGGACATGTAATACGTAGATACGGTATCAGTTTTACACTCTACAATGCCACGTATAATCAAGTAGGCAGTTGAAATGGGTCGATGCTCTTCGATTAGAATTGTATCTGGTTGAAACCATCGATGTTTGCTTTTCATAATTGATTTCCATTGAAGTTTATCTTCATTGGAAAGTGTTTTAAAAATAGCTAATAGATCAAACGGATCTTCAATGATTTTCTTTTCATCATCAGATAGTTGAATCTTGCCATATTCTAAACTGAAGATCTTATTTTCGATTAATTTACAAATATGCGCATATTCATTATCGTCAAGTATTCCTGTTTCATACAGATGAATGATCGCAATCGACTGATGTTTGAGAAGCATCTGTGCACATCGTTTCGTCATTTGAGCAGTCCAGCAAAGTTGATACGATTTGCGTAGATGATGAAGAACGCGTGCAGCATTGAGCTGATATTGTTTGGCTTCGTGACACACTTCGTTCATAATTTGTTCATCAATGGTAATCAATTCCGGAAATAGAACTAAGATATTGTCCATTCGAGTCTCGGCTGAATGAAAGCCAAGAGTTAATTCGATAGTTAATAAGATATGATCGAATAGAAGTCGATTCGTCCATTTGTTGATGAAATCGAAATAGTTGAATCGCATTAGATTCAATAAAAGAAAAGATAATCGAAAATGTTCGATGAGAAGTTGCCAATGTAATTCGAAGGAACGTTTTTGTTTTGCTTGTTCGACCGACTTGATGAGAATATCAAGTGTTTGGCGATGGATCATACCCAAATACCATTGTTTTTCGTAATCGATGGACATCGCTGTGAGAAATCGAATGACAAGTTCGTTTCGAATATTTTCTCGATCTACAGCGTTGACGTTGTCCATGGAAATCGTTTTGAATTGTTGGTTACCATTCAAGTTCAAAGGTTGAGAGACTTCTTCAGTTGAACTGATATTTTCTTCTTCGTTCAGTTCTTTTAACAATTTCTTTGGTAAATATTCGTCGAGTACTTTCCAATTAACTTCGGCAAATTTCTCATCCTGCTTGATTTGTAACAATTGAGAGAATGTTTCGCGCTGCATGTGTTCGAGAGCTTGCGAGAGAACTATTTGACTTTCTTTAGCACCTACAACCATTTACGTGAAATTAATAAACAAAATTTCTCTTTGTTACCTTGTTTCAGACCGAGAAAATGAATGAAGAATCGACTGGTTGTGCCATTAATAACCAAGGTCAGAAGTGCGATCATCGAAACATGAAATAGAAAATGATTTCGTGTGACACTATCAATTCGCGTATCTAGATCAACCATTAGAACTAAAATAAGTGCCATGCTACCTCGTAAACCGCTCCAAATCAAAACAAGACCATCTTTCCATGAGATATGCACTCCACTCCGACGAATCAGCGGATAAAGAAGAATCACGGTCAACGCTCGTCCGATGTGAATAACAATATACAAAACAATTGAATAAACGAAATCTTGTGCAATGATAGTCGTCGCGGTATTCACCAAAGATTTGGCGAGGATAATACCAGTTACAGTGAAGACCATGATGTTAATCAAGTAAGTCGCCATTCGCCAGGCGCTGACCAAGGATATTTGAACATTACTACTGATGCAATACTTATGTTTAGCCATATACAAACCCATTGTTACAAGTGCGAGAACTGCAGATACACGTAATTCAACATCGGCAATGAAAAAGATTAGATAGGAAATAGCGAATGTAAGTGCAACTTCGACTTCAAGTTCACCATTGATTCGATTGAGAATCTTGACACAAATAAAGCCAGATATGAGACCAAACACTGGTCCACCTGAAATAGAATATCTCAATAAAAATTGAAAGAATCTTTCTCGCGAAAATTACCAATACTGAATTTAAGAATATCGGTGATGATCAATCGGGCATTGTACGTTTCGCCAACGAAAATATTCTTGAAAATAAGAAAGATGACAAATGCAGAGCCATCGTTTAACAACGATTCGAAATCAATTAACGAAGCTAACGATCTACTTGCACCTGAGTCATGTAGTAGTGCGACAACAGCGATCGGATCCGTTGCACAAAGAATACTTCCAAATAAGAGACCAGTTAACCATGACCAATTGTAAGGAAAGAGATAAACACTTGACGCAGCGATGATAACAGTAGAAATTAATACTCCCGGGCCGGCGAGTAGAACGGCTGATAGAAGTTGATGTTTAACGAGGTAAAAATGTCCATTAAATGATGAATCGAAGATTAACAAGGGTAAAAATATATAATAAATCAAATGTGGATGGATTTCACTCAGCTGAATTTCACCACGTTGGAAATTATTCGTTATAGTTTTCGTATGTGTCACAATTAAACCAATAATAAAACTGAGAATAAGAACAGTGACTGTAAATGGCAATGTTATTCTATTTTTCAAGATTTTTGAGAGTATGATTTTACTCAAACATGCCGCTAGTACCGAAAACGATAAGAAGAGAATAACAACGCCAATCCTCTCCTCCTCATGATCGTTCGTAGTCGTCACATTCATATCGATTGCAAGATCTTTTTGTTCTCTATGATATAGATTCGACTTTTATTTCTATCTTAGAGAAATGTGCGTCGAATAAAAAAGGATTATCAACATGCGTAGATTGTATAAATGCGATCATGCATAGCACAATGATTTGTTACGTAAACTCAATGACGGCCACGTTTTTCTTTTCGTTCTACGTTCTCAACGTTCGATGATGAAAAATGAAATCTTCCGTACGATACACTTCGTACTGAACGAAATCAAGCGAATCGTGCTCATTTATTACATTTTATTTCCAATTCTTACTCACTAATGAGCAGCCATAAATCCCTATAGCAGAAAGGAGAAAATGTCTGATGAGAGTTAACTTTTGTATTAGTTTAGCTTTTCGTTTAGCACACTTTTTTCGATGCTTAAAAAGGATTCATTAAATTTCTATGCATCCCAAAGTGCATCCGTAACTAAATTGTTAAGCAAAGAGAAAAAAAAGTCATTTTTATACAAATGCGTTTTTTAATTCTCGTCTAGTGGATCGTTGCGATAGATCTATCTTTACCTATGCTACTGTCACGAACGATGATCACTATCGTCTCGGTTACACCTGTTTGATACCTACAAATTATGTCATACATTTATGTTTATATTTATAAATACATGAACACGACAGAAGAAGAAACGGTAACCAGTTTTAATCGTGTGAATCACAAACGTGATCGTGAAGTTTTGTGGAATATTCTGATTCTTTTAAGTATATATATATATCTGACTGGCTCAATTCCATTATTTATTTATTTTCTTTCTAAAATTGAATTATTTATGTTAATTATTCTCGTCACTTTTATTTTATCTGTAAATATTGACAAAATATGTGCGATTCTGCTCAATCGTGAACTTCGACAAGCTATCGAAGAAATGATGCTTACAACAACACGAGTCATGCCTTTTTTTATTCAAAGCACTACAAGATGAGCGAAGATGGATTTCATACCCTTTCGGTGACAACAAACGACTTTCTCATAACCTGATGGTATTAGTGTATCCGATTAGTCTGACAAATCGTGGCACCACAATTTTCAACACTGTTATTAAACCACCGATCAACCTCGTAACGACATAAATGGCACAGTTTCTTGTTAGAATCGTATAATGACATTCAGTAGATTGAAATTCCATTCCATTCTTCAATCATCAATTCGTTGAGTAAGTCACCAATGGTTGCTGTTTGCGAGTACTGATTTGAGAATAATGCTTGAGGAGCTGTCTAATTTGTAAAGTAACTTGCTGCTAATAAATAACGATTTAGGACATCAATACATGTTTGATTGTAGAAACATTGAAGACTCGATTGAAGCAATGCTTCTATGGACAAACACCCATAGAGAAATCCTGTTATGTTATAGAGTGATGGGTAGCCAACAATTGCTCGAAGATCGATAAAAGTTTCTGATGTGCATTCATCTGTTTGATCACACTCACAATTCAAATATTGTTGTACCTGTGTGTATACTTGGTTCGTGCCGGATTGAAGTATCAACGCGTAATTTGTTCCTATTGGAGTCATTAATCTATTTGCTTTTGTTGTACTTCGAATGAGATTAAATGATAGCAAGAAACTACCGCAGTTGTCGATGTTCGACGAAACTCGGCTATGAATGATTGCGTTCGTGATTCAAATAATTATCTGAGAGTAAGCGATCCAGTCACATATTGGGTTGATTTGAATTGTATCAAACCATTCGAAATCGGTTATGCGAAACATAGTTCATTCTGACTTCCCACTCCGTCTCTTTGTTAGAAAAACCAGTAGTTTTGAAGACAGATAAGAAAACATCGTTTTATTTTAGAAGAATAAAGCCGCTTTTTACAAAAAAAAGTCGATAAAAAAGCTAAAAGAATTTCGGTATAAAGATAAGACATTATAACCAGAAAAGAAACGATAGTCATTCGTTTGAAGACTTTTGTATTTTTCGATAGATATATAATCATATCAACAACACTCATATAAAATAGATAAAATTAAAAGAATACTAGCAAAAATATGGTTGTTCAATGCGATGACACAAGAAAATACTTTTATATAATTCGCTATAAAGTTTCGACAAAAGCGAATTGACACAGAAATATCAACTATGGATGAACGGAAATATATAATAATTAGGTTGCCCTCTCGAGTTTCGGAGAAAATTTTCCTTATCCTATCTTTGTGGCATCACAATCTACTTAATTTAAGCGCGTTTTATCGAACATATTAAGAAGCTTGGTTTCATCGCACTTAAAAATCTCTAATGTATTGTTTTACATGATTGAACTACTTAAATCATCCAATGTCAAATGAATCTCAAGTCATTGTGAATCTTTAAAATCGATTACAGCTACATTGTTGAGTGTGAAGACTAATTTCCTGACATATGTCCTGAACGCTTCTCACAAATACTTGTGAGAAAAATCTTTGAAGTTTCTAATCGAACATATTTTCTCTATAATTTTCTGCAGCATAAATGCAGTGTATATCCTCTCTTATCTTCTTCTCTTTGCCTGAACAACATAATCGCTCACCACAAACTGGTAGAGGTACTTTGACCAGTAAAACATTTGCCGTTTTCTTCTGTGTTAGTTCTTTCTGATCATGCAATGCATTTTGAAAATCCAATAGGTTTTGATGTTATGAACGAAAGAAAGCTTTGCAGCGACGTTTCCTTTTTCATGATGTCCTCGTTTTAAGATCATTGAAAGAAGAACTCAGTGAACATAAACATCAAACAATACAAAATTCTTTTGCTTTGCAAGCTTCTTCAGTCGATACTCGACGAAAATCAACAAAATTGTGATTTATCGATTTCTAACGCTTTCTTATACAATTATTTCTTGTTATTTTAATGGTCCAAACTATACTTCTCTTTTTCAAACAAAATCCTCCTTTTCAAAAAAAAACTGTCGGTATAGGATGCCAGAGTTCATCTAATATTACTCCTTATATGATTGTGTGATGGTACATAAAATATGAAGAATCGTGTGACAAATTGGTTTACATCATAGAAAAATGTCTTTAATTAACAAAGTATAGGATTATGATAACAAGTGTTGTAAAAACATTGACATATTATTAAGGGTTTTACTGGTAGATGGTTTTCTCAGTTTTCCATTAATTATTGATGTTGACATTGAGTAAAACTGTTAAGAAAATCTTTCCGAAATGTTTTCGAAGCCACAAAATATGTGTAGAATGGTGTGGCACAACTTATATAAGTAAGTACGACTCCAATAATGGATAAAAAATTTTCAATTTGTATCCATTGTACACTTTTCTGTATTCCCATTTGATTCGTTATTGTAACTTCTAAAACAATGAATGGATAAGGAAAAATTGTTAATACATAAACAATTGCTTGAGCAAGAACTAAAAGAAATAATTGCCGATCTCGACGATGAATAATAACAATATCATTACTCATCATCGGTCGAATACGTGTATGTAATTGAGTCATATTATGATATGATAATAAACCAAATATAATCATTAATATTGGTGGAATCAAAGAAAGNCATCATCAGATAGTTGAATCTTGCCATATTCTAAACTGAAGATCTTATTTTCGATTAATTTACAAATATGCGCATATTCATTATCGTCAAGTATTCCTGTTTCATACAGATGAATGATCGCGATCGACTGATGTTTGAGAAGCATCTGTGCACATCGTTTCGTCATTTGAGCAGTCCAGCAAAGTTGATACGATTTGCGTAGATGATGAAGAACGCGTGCAGCATTGAGCTGATATTGTTTAGCTTCATGACACACTTCATTCATAATTTGTTCATCAATGGTAATCAATTCCGGAAATAGCACTAAGATATTGTCCATCCGAGTCTCGGCTGAATGAAAGCCAAGAGTTAATTCGATAGTTAATAGGATATGATCAAAGAGAAGTCGATTCGTCCATTTGTTGATGAAATCGAAATAGTTGAATCGCATTAGATTCAATAATAGAAAAGATAATCGGAAGTGTTCGATGAGAAGTTGCCAATGTAATTCGAAGGAACGTTTTTGTTTCGCTTGCTCGACTGACTTGATGAGAATATCAAGTGTTTGGCGATGGATCATACCGAGATACCATTGTTTCTCATAATCAATGGCCATTGCCGTAAGAAATCGAATGACAAGTTCGTTTCGAATATTTTCTCGATCTACAGCGTTGACGTTTACCATAGAAATCGTTTTAAATTGTTGGTTACCATTCAGGTTCAAAGGTTGAGAGACTTCTTCAGTTGAACTGATATTTTCTTCTTCGTTCAGTTCTTTCAATAATTTTTTCGGTAAATATTCGTCGAGTACCTTCCAATTAACTTCGGCAAATTTCTCATCCTGTTTGATTTGTAACAATTGAGAGAATGTTTCGCGCTGCATATGTTCGAGAGCTTGCGAGAGAACTATTTGACTTTCTTTAGCACCTACAACCGTTCACGTGAAATTAATAAACAAAATTTCTCTTTGTTACCTTGTTTCAGACCGAGAGAATGAATGAAGAATCGACTGGTTGTGCCATTAATAACCAAGGTCAGAAGTGCGATCATCGAAACATGAAATAGAAAATGATTTCGTGTTACACTATCAATTCGCGTATCTAAATCAACCATTAGGACTAAAATCAGTGCCATACTACCTCGTAAACCGCTCCAGATCAAAACAAGACCATCTTTCCATGAGATATGCACTCCACTCCGACGAATCAGTGGATAAAGAAGAATCACGGTCAACGCTCGTCCGATGTGAATAACAATATACAAAACAATCGAATAAACGAAATCTTGTGCAATGATAGTCGTCGCTGTATTCACCAAAGATTTGGCGAGGATAATTCCAGTTACAGTGAAGATCATGATGTTAATCAAATAAGTGGCCATTCGCCAGGCGCTGACCAAGGATATTTGAACATTACTACTGATGCAATACTTATGTTTAGCCATATACAAACCCATTGTTACAAGTGCGAGAACTGCAGATACGCGTAATTCAACATCGGCAATGAAGAAGATCAGATAGGAAATAGCGAATGTAAGTGCAACTTCTACCTCTAGTTCACCATTAATTCGATTGAGAATCTTGACGCAAATAAAGCCAGATATGAGACCAAACACTGGTCCACCTGAAATGGAATATCTCAATAAAAATTAAAAGAACCTTTCTCGCGAAAATTACCTATGCTGAATTTAAGAATATCGGTGATGATCAATCGAGCATTATACGTTTCACCAACGAAAATATTCTTGAAAATGAGAAAGATCACAAATGCAGAGCCATCATTTAACAACGATTCGAAATCAATCAACGAAGCTAACGATTTACTTGCACCTGAGTCATGTAATAGTGCGACAACAGCGATCGGATCCGTTGCACAAAGAATACTTCCAAATAAGAGACCAGTTAACCATGACCAATTGTAAGGAAAGAGATAAACACTTGATGCAGCGATGATAACAGTGGAAATTAATACTCCCGGGCCGGCGAGAAGGACGGCTGATAGAAGTTGATGTTTAACGAGGTAAAAATGTCCATTAAATGATGAATCGAAGATTAACAAGGGTAAAAATATATAATAAATCAAATGTGGATGGATTTCGCTCAGCTGAATTTCACCACGTTGGAAATTATTCGTTATAGTTTTTGTATGTGTCACAATTAAACCAATAATAAAACTGAGAATAAGAACAGTAACTGTAAATGGCAATGATATTCTATTTTTCAAGATTTTTGAGAGTATGATTTTACTCAAACATGCCGCTAGTACCGAAAACGATAAGAAGAGAATAACAACGCCAATCCTCTCCTCTTGATGATCTTCCGTAATCGTCACATTCATATCGATCGCAAGATCTTCTTGTTCTCTACGATATATATTCAACTTTTATTTCTATCTTAGAGAAATGTGCGTCGAATAAAAAAGGATTATTAACATGCGTAGATTGTATAAATGCGATCATGCATAGCACAATGGTTTGTTACATAAACTCAATGACGGCCACGTTTTTCTTTTCGTTCTACGTTCTCAATGTTCGATGATGAAAAATGAAATCTTCCGTACGATGCACTTCGTACTGAACGAAACCAAGCGAATCGTGCTCATTTATTACATTTTATTCCCAATTCTTATCCACTAATGTACGGCTGTAAATCCCTATAGCAGAAAGGAGAAAATGTCTGATGAGAGATAACTTTTGTATCAGTTTAGCTTTTCATTTAGCATACTTTTTTCGATGCTTAAAAAGGATTCATTAAATTTCTATGCATCGAAAAGTACATCCGTAACTAAATTGTTAGGCATAGAGAGAAAAAAAGTCATGTTTATACAAATGCGTTTTATATTTTAATTCAATTATGTCATACATTTATGTTTATATTTATAAATACATGAATGCGACAGAAGAAAAAACGGTAACCAGCTTTAATCGTGTGAATCACAAACGTGATCGTGAAGTTTTGTGAAATATTGTGATTCTTTTAAGTATATATGTATCTGACTGGCTCAGTTCCGTTATTTATTTATTTTCTTTCTAAAATTGAATTGTTTATGTTAATTGTTCTCGTCACTTTTATTTTATCTGTAAATATCGCGGTGACACCCTAAACGACTTTCTCATAACCTGATGGTATTAGTCTATACGATTGACAGTTTTTACATATTAATTAGTGTGATTTGAACACGTTTCTGTTTCTATTTTCGAATGCAGAACACGATTATTCTGATAAATCGTGGCACCACAAATTTCAACGTTGTAATGGCATAAGTGGCAGAGTTTCTTGTTAGAATCGTACAATAACATTCAGTAGATTGACATTCATTATAATATTTTTCGTACATTGAAATTTCATTCCATTCTTCAATCATCATTTCATTGAGTACCAGGCATGCCAAATCTCCTGATTTGGGCAGGAGTCTCCTGATTTTGTCGACTTTCTCCTGATAAAAAGTCTCCTGATTTCAGGAGCTGATATCGATCATTTTCTACTGATTTTGATTTTTTCCGGTGAATAACCAGTGACATCTTCTGTTGATAAAAATGTTGAATTGAAGACTGTAGCCAATAACAGGTTTTATTTTTCGTTTTCGCCTTTCATGACTTCTCAGTTAAAACCAGAAAAATCTATACAAACATTTATTCCAATTCAAATAGTAAATATATTCGTTGTTTTCTCAATGTCGTTTTCATGTTCAAGCGAAATTATTGAAATAGATGATGAATT